GGAACCAAGGTTCAAGTTAGATACTAGGAAGTACTTCCTGACAGTTAGGACCCCAAGTGTATGGAATGGGCTTCCATGGGAGGTTGTTGAAGCCCCATTGGTGAGGGAGTTCAAGGATAGGCTGGACCTGCACATGGTAGGCATGTCATGAGCAGAGCCGGCTGGAGCTGGGAGGCAGACTAGATGGCCCAGGAGGTCCCTTCTGACTTGCTATGTTTCTATGAATAGTTATGGAAAAATTGCTAAACAGTGTAATTATAGGCCTCTAATCGTATTGTTAGAGTGCATTAAAATGGTTGCAGTGTATCGCTGATAGAGTTTAAATTATTTCATGCAAAAACCCAAAATCAAGTAGGGCTAAAGATAAGAACACTGTTGCTTATTGCATTCACCACTACTTTGAATGCCTGTGGTCAAAATGAAGAAATCCCTCTCCCTTTTTTCCTTGAAATACATCTCATTCTAGGCATTGCTTAAAATCCTGAATTAGTTGTCAGTAATACAACAGAAACAGAGTATTACTTTGAAAATAGAATGGGAGGTGCTGGTCCACCAAGTTCTGATATAAAGCATGAAGGATCAGATCCTTCTGCACTGAGGGTGAAATAAGTGGTTTTTTTGCTATATTATGTTCAGAAATTAAAGATGCATATATTGTTGTGAGCTGCCCCGAGGCCTTGTTGCGATGGGGGCGGCATAGAAATGTTTTAAATAAATAAATAAACAAATAAACATAATTTTCAGTTTGGGAAGTACAGCCTAAATCAGTGACCCATCCGAAGTTAATCAGTGCTAATCCCTCTATCCCCTTTAGAGATGCCCACTGATTCCTGATTTTGAGATGGGTTATATGAATGTATGGGGAAGGAGTGCTATTAAATGTAGAATTTAAGAATGGGAGCATTTTCTGAACTAGCATTTTCTTTTTTGAGAAAGCCATGAACTCTGAATTTCAGCTGGCAGAGAGGCTGAGGACTCTTAACTATGGCCAAATCAGAGTGTTTAAATCCAGATCTGCCACATTTGTGTAGAAAGAGGGTACAGTCTGGAATCCAGTTTAACAAAACACGTACAAATACACATATAAAATACATGCATAAAGGTAAAGATTTCCCCTTGACATTAAGTCCAGTCATGCCTGACTCTAGGGGGCGGTGCTCATCTCCGTTTCCTAGCCGAGGGAGCCAGCATTTGTCTGCAGACAGTCTCCGTGGTCATGTGGCTGGCATGACTAAACACCGAAGTGCATGGAATGCTGTTACCTGCCCACCAAAGTGGTACCTTTTTATCTACTTGCATGTGCATGCTTTCTAACTGCAAGGTTGGCAGGAGCTGGGATGGAGCAACGGGAACTCACCCCGTTGTGCAGATTCAAACCAGTGACCTTTCGATCTACCAGCCCAGCAGCACAGCAGTTCAAACCACTGCGCCACCTGCAGTCCCTCTATACTATAAAACAAGCATGTAAGTAGGCGAATCCTCTTGTAATGGAATCCTCCTTTTCTCACCAGTGCTTTCACAGTGAATGTGAAACTAACTAACGGAAAAGTGCTTGGCAAGAGGCACAGCAGGGAACTGAGGTACTGGAGGAAAGATTCGGCCCAGCTCCTCTCACTTGCCTGATTAATCTGCTCCTTTAAAGATGGCTTCCTTCCCATTTCAGAGCTGGGTTTAAAAAAAATGGATCAGGAGCTGTTCTGGAGTCTTATGGCTCTCCCTATTCTACTTGACTTGGATCCAGTTCAGTGCCATCTGCCTTGAAGTTGAAACTATGATGCTTAGGAAATTTAACCTTTCAACTAAGTTAACTTAGTGTGAGGAAGGAAAAATCTCTGCGAACCAAGCCCAAAGGACCCCACAGGCAAATTTTCTTCCCAGCTCTAACAGCTGATGGCTGAGTATAGTCCACATCAATTAGAGGCATAAAAATGGGCTGGGCAGGTTGGGCAATGCTAAAACAACAGAGAGGGTACAAGATCTAGGCTGCAGCCTTTTAAGTAACTGAGGGCAGCCCCTTAAGTAACTTAAGTACCACAGACTGGACAGCAAAATGCACAGCTTAGGTGGCAAAGCCAATTTGATACACCTCCATTCCCAGTTCAGCATCCATGGTGCAGTGTAAACCAGGATGCCTGGCAACTAGCAAGGCCTGGGAGTGCTATTATAAGCTTTAACTAAAACAAACAAACAAACAAACATGGCAGCACAAACATAGAGGGTTGGCCCAAAGTAACACCAACACTACAGTATGCACGTTACTGTCCACAAAAACACTGTTAAGATCCTGAGGAGAGGGGAGACCTGAACCAGATGGCCCTAATCAAAGGGGAGTTTAGAGCACTCAGAAATTAAGGGAGTAATTAACATTTTAATGTTATTCAAGGCCAGAGGCCTCAAAACACCAGCAATGGCAGAGTCAAATGGTTTACTGCTGGTAATAGTGTGGGGGAACTGGGAGCTGGATCAGCTGACTGAGTAACAGGGGGGATAAAGGGTTGAGGGTTAGAAGTGTTGTTTGTTCTTTTCCTGGTGCTGCTGCCTGACAGTACTGAAGATGAGACTGGCTGCATCCCTGCCAGTGGTTGCTATTGACCTGAAAGGAGTATATATCAACAGAGTAGCATAGGTGCTAGCTTTATTTTTTTGTCTTATTGGTTCAACAAGACTTAAGGGTTTTATGGAAAGTGCGGTCAACCTTGAGTACTGTGTTTTTGGTTGCTGCTGTCCACCATTCCCCATTCTTCCCTTGTTTACCTATTTTAATCCCTCTTCCTTTTAGTCCTCCCTCCACCCTCTATTTTACTATCTTAATATATGGATTTTTATCCCTTAAACTGTGCGTGAATGAGCCGTGTGCTAGATCCAGTGCTGACCAGTGGTGTGGCCAGTGAGGGTACGAATTACTTTCCACCATGGCTGGGCGAAGTGGAGGATTTCCCTTGGCAGATCATAACAAACACAAACACAAAGAAATCTACTCTAGAGTGTCTTTATAACTTGATTAACAAATGCATACTATTTTGCAGGACTGTGTTCTGAAAAACAAACAAACAAAAATCCCCCTTTTATTCCTCTCTGTGAACAGCTTATCAGCCCAACTAATAAATCTTTGCTAATATCATTCTGCAGACCAGAATTAAAAAAAGGAAAAAGAAAAAAATTATAACTCTAATTAAACTTGGTATTTCAAAACTACTAATCATATAATTTCAAAAGTTTGTTCAGTGGTACAATATAGACACACCCTTATTTTCCTCTTCAAAGGATTCACTTCTGTTTCTTGAAATGGGGAACAGAAAGTTTAAACAAAATGAATTAATATATAGTTTCATTACAGCAACCAAGATGCTAGTTTCTGCTTTCACTAACTACTTCTCCCATTACTTTGTTATTCAAATATTTATGGACTGGCAACAAAGATATTATTACATGTGTGGTCCTACCTTTTACACTCTGTAGTTTCTCAGTGAACAATGTCCCATCTTTATCTGCAAGGCCTCAGACAGTGAAACAACCAACTTACCAGTGAAAGCTATAATCCTCCAACAATTTACTCCGGAATAGTTTGAATGGGATCAATGGCATCAACACTAAATTAAATTAGTAGTCTTATGCTATAAACTTTTAAAATCTAAAGCCAACAGTCTGCCCTTTAAATCTGTGTCTGCGATATTCTTCAGCATGTCAACATTACTGGAAAGGCCCAGCGGGTTCCCTGATCACTTAAATGACATGATTTATCTTGAAATTCGAATGCAGAAGAGAAGAATACACTGGGCAGATTCATGCATCACAACAACCCACCAGCTAGGAATAAGCTAGACTGTTCAGTCCACTGTGCCACTTGGAAATTGGTAAGATAGCTAGCACTTGTGGGAATCTGGCTGAAAGGAGGACAAGTGGCAAGTGGTTTTGTAAGTCTTGCTGAGTGCCTTGCTAGTCATTTCCTGAACTCATGGTAGGGTTTATTGCCCTGGTTCAGATGACATAACAATCCATTGTGTGTCCAACAATTCTTACAACAAGTCTCTGGCTTCTGCCATCCGCCATTACCCAGGGGATCTAGTCTCAGTGGGAGGCTGCACCTCCTGTTTCTCAAAAAATAATATTTAAGCAAGGAGGTGACCAATTCAGCTCATGCACTGGCTCCTGAAGGGCAGTTGTAGGGGGCTTGCTTTCCCATTCCTGTCAGAAAGACCACTTGCTCCAATTGTGAGTACCTTTGAAGAGCTGGGGGGCGAGGGGTGTCATTCTGGCCCTTTCAAATCAGCCAAAGGAATGAGAAACATCAATTGTGCTTCAAGCAAGAACAGTAGCAAGGGATGATCAGTCTAGTCATAAGTGCATTTCCATGCCAGCTTATGGTCTATCCCTTTGTTCTGGCTTTGAAAAACTGATCCTCATCCTCTACCATTTATCTCTACTCCCCTTCCTTTTGGGGGTCTTGTCATTTTAGCTTATATCCCTCTGAGGGCCTGCCTTGATTTTTTATTGATGCAAGTGAACTTGGGAGACAATACTTGCCCCTGAAGGAAGATAAAAATTAGTAACAATATAAATAAATTGACATCCAACAATCATTTTGATCGGGTTCATTTCCCCAGTCATATCCTCTGGACAGTAAAGTCCCACTTAATTTCTCTTTAGTTCTTTGTGTTGAATTCATCAGTAGAAATTGCTGTTAGCTTGAAGATTCATCCATAATTCTAGTATCACTAAGATAGGAAATGAGTAAATATCTGGGTCACTGAGATAAATTCACATGAAGAGAAGTTATGAAATAACTTAATATACTTCCCTCTTTTTCAAGGCATTAACAAAGTTTTGTCCTTGAAGCCACTCCACTCAATCAAGCTTTCACAATAATTTGTCTTCACAAAACTGAATGATCAGATGAAATTTAATTTCAGTGACCTTGTTGAAATATAGAGTGAATTTCCTAATACTGATTGCAAAATAAAGATAAACAATCCAATGCAAGGATTCAGATGAGTGCTTACATTTTGATGCATCTTCCAAATTTTTGTTAGCATCCTCAATTCCTTTTTGTATCTCATCTAGCCAAAGAACTGATGAATCATCATGAGATTCCTGCATCAGAAGGCAGAGAAATACACCGAAAGTTTAAAATAGTTTATCAAGTCTTAATCCAGTCATTTCAAGAAATCCATGATTGCCAAGCCAATTTGGTGTAGGGTCAGGACTTCTGAAAGTTATGGACATGGATGGGCCCAGGAAATGTCCAGACTCTCAGTTTATCTTGAACTATTTTGAGTAACATGGCACATTGTTCTGTAGGTACCTTCGTATGTTCTCTGCTTATGTGTGGCACTCTAGTCGGGCTAGCATCAGTTAATATGTGGGTGTGAAAGGTGTTTGCACCTTGTTCTTGAAGCCAGAAACTGGAGGTCAATGTATTTCTAGCATTGTATTTAGAAATCCCTCTTGCATTTCTAGCACAGAATCTGAACATGCTGCACATCCTGCAATGTTTATAACAGTAGCAGTGCTGGGTTAGAATATATTCCTGGAACAAAATGCTGAACGCATTAGATAAAAGTATAACAGGAAGATGAGTCAGAGGCCATGAAAAGAAACCTTTTAGATATTTCCAGTGGAAGCATGCATGCATATAGCCCACATTATCCAAAAAACCCACAATGACCTTGAAAACCCTACATACCTGCACGTTTGCGTGCACATACATACATACAATTATTCAATTTAAGAATTTAAATACATGTAGATTTTTACTGCATTTTGAAGATGAGTTAATATATTTTTAAAACCCAGAAAAAATTTTCCGTTTAAATAAAACAAATCTAGTTTTCATTAGAATTTAACATGCTAATTACCAGTCACAAATTACAATTTTTATAAATCTAAGAAAATATTAAGTAATCTAGGCAAATATGAACATAAGGCAACTGGAAATGTTATAGCCTGTAAAGAAGGATTGGTGGAAAAAATGTGAGCATTTGAGTTATGGCAGATTAAAACATTCTAATTAGAACACAGTATCAATTTTCATGTCAGAAACAATACGCTTTTACTATATGTAACCTAAATGTCTATATGGGCACAATCCTGTGCCTATTCAGGCCAAAAAAAAAAAGGTCCTACAGCTCCCAGCATTCCCCAGGACTTTTACTGTTGAAAGATCCAATGGCAAGGCAGTAAAACTCAATTTGTGTAAAGTGTTGTGTATGAAAAGAGTAATGTAACAATGCTATTTATATTTCCTAGGGAGTAAAGATCACTTTTGAGATGTACTTTTGAGTAGACTTATATAAGATTGCACAGAGTTCGAGGAGGTCTGCAATTATTTATTTATTTGTATATGACCTTTCTACCACCTTTTTGCTTGAGACAGCTTGTAGGAGCAATTAAAATTAATTAGTATACATTAGAATACAATAAAAAGCTAACCATTGAAGAAAATTATTAAAAACAGCATCCAACTCAACTATTTACTAGCTGAAAGTCTTCCTGAGTACAGTGGTCTTTATCTCTCTCCAGAGTTGCCACCAAATATGCCTCTGGGGATGGCAGTCTTGAAAAGAGGGCATCTCTGAAAGAACCAGATAGAACTTGGCTGTAAGCTGACTAGGTCTTATTACAGCATGGCCAACACTTTGAATTGTACCTGGTGTAATGGTAGCCAGTGAAGCTTTCTAACAAAGGAGTCATGTGCTCTCTGTAACTAGCCCCTGTCAACAGGGTGGCTGCAACATACTGTATTAGCTGAAGGTTCTGACCAGTTTTCAAAGGCAGCCCCATGTTCAGCACATTACCCCTAACAGAAGACCATCGAGAATAAACAGAGTATTCTCATCAGGCTGTCTCCACAGGTAAACCATGACTAACTACAAAATTGAAACAAACAGTTAAAAAAACAAAGAAAATTGTCCACTGAAATATTACCATTATAGAAAACAACAGAATATCACTGACAACCATAAGTACAACTGAAGCATTAAATAGCACCTCAAATGCCTGGTAATAGAGGAAAATGCTAAACTGGGAAAGAAAAGATTTGATGGTGTATGTTGGTCCCAGATATTCTTCACTGGGAAGAACATTCAAGAGCTACTACTCTTCCTGGTTGTCATTTTCTACATTTCCCTTGAAAGGATGAACTTAGATGCGGACATACTGCACTGGGACAGGTGTTCCACTGGGTACTGTGGTCCTGAGCCATATAAGGGTTTACAGGTTAAAACCTTGAATTGGGCTTGGAAATGTACAGACAGCCAGTGCAAGTAGGCAGAATCAGTGTTTTATGTCCAGACATTTGGTTCCTTGCTATTGAACTGTCCACTGCACTTTTCACAAGCTGCAGCTTCTGAACCATCTTCAAAGGCAGTCCACAAACAGTACACTGCAGCTAACTTACTTGGAGGTTACCAGAACATAGACTACTGAAGCCAGGTTGCATCTGCCAGGTTTAGGGTATAGCTGGGCCACCAGTTAAAGCTGACAGAAGGCATTCTGTGCCACTGAGGTCACCTGAGACTCAAGTGGCAGTGATGTTTCCAGAAGAACCCATGATTCGGAAGGGGTGGGGGTGACTTCAGCCTGAACAGGCAAAAAGCCATCCATTCAGTCAGATGAACTACCCACTAAGAACATCTGATCTTGTCTGGTTTGTGCTTCAGTTTATTAACCCTCATCCAATCCATTGCTGCAGCCAGGCACCAGTCCACATCCACAGTCCACATGAAGAAAATGGAAAATAGAGCTGCGTTCTATCAGCATAGTGATGACAATGCACTCCAAAAGTCTGGGTGACTCACCATGCAAATGTTGGTTTCCATGTAAATGTTAAATAACATGGAAGACAAAACCACTCCCTGTGGAAATGTATGCAAGAGATTCCACAAAGCCAAGCAATATCTCCCAAGCACTACCTTCCGAAGCCAAACATCTAAGCAGGAATGAAACCACGGCAATGCAGTACACCATATATTTTCAGTTCAGTCATACCAAACGTACATCATAGTCAATAGTATTGAAAGTCACAGAGGGATCAAGAAGAAAAATAGAAGTATAGAGTTGAAGGAGATCTCAGAGATAATCTAGCCTAGCTGCTGGTTTAATGCTGTGGAAGTTCTTCAGGACTAGGAAAAGAATTCTTCAAGAAATTATTTTTTCAGGCAGCCTGGAACCACTCCCTCCCACAAAGAGGTATTAATCACCTGCTTGGTCCAAACAACTGTTCTGCCACTATCAACTGTAATAAATCAGATCACTGGGGCAATGATCCAATATAAGGGCAGTTGCACAAACCTGTCCATGCACCCTGTTGGTACCCTCAGGCTGTACTGAAAACTGATCCAGTCAAAACAGGATGAGCCTGTACAAAACCGTGGAAACGAGAGTGATTCATGGTAATGCCCATGCATGTATTGCTCATGCATAGGCCACCTCAGAGACTATTACAAGGACAAGTGCAACATTTTTCTTCCTCTGATTTAGTGGCACCCAAAAATTTGAAACATTTTTCAAATGTTTGTAAGATCAAATGTAGAAAAACGTTATGCTTCACATCTTGACCTTTTTCTTAAGAAAAATAAATTATTAAATAGAACTGGCAGTAATCTAGTGACCTGCTATGACATCTCTCCCTATGCATTTTCAATTGTATACACCTACAGCAGCTTTTTCCAACCTGGTACAACTCCAAAAATTGAGAGCCAGTGTGGTGTAGTGGTTAAGAACATGGGACTGGGACTCAGGCGATCTGGGTTCTAGTCCCTGCTCGGCCATGGAGCTAACTGGGTGACTTTGGGCCAGTCACAGACTCTCAGCCCAACCTACCTCACAGGGTTGTTGTTGTGGGGATAATATGGAGGAGGAGAATGATGTAAGCTGCCTTGAGTCCTTCGTAGGAAAAAGGCAGGATATAAATCGGTGGAAAAAAAATTCCTGGCCACTGACCATGCTGGCTAGCACTGATGGGAATTAACATCCAAAACTTCTGGAAACATCTGTATTCTGTTTCCAATTCTTCAGAATGAAAAATTGGAGGATCTGTTGCATAAACTGACATTGAAGAAAATGTAGGATAAACTCCAAATCTGTAATAATGTATTATATAGATATTTAAGAAACAATGGTTTCTTATTTGACATAAATTAGAACTGGCATATATTATATCTATAGAATGAAGGGTAATGTTTTGAAGTATTTCATCACAGAATATGTGGTAAGGAAATGTGAGCTTTTTATATGTTCCTACACTAAAAAAGGTTCCTAGTTGCAGAACTAGACCATCAGAAAGAAGGACTTCATGCAATCATGTGTGACATGCTAGCTTGGAGCATTTAAGGGGAGAATTCAACGTGAAAGTTTCCATCTTTAGTCTGTTCCATCAGCACATTCTTTATACGTAATACACAGAAAAACTCAGTTACCACCACTGACTTCTACTAAGCTTTAAACTGGTGGTTTGACACATATGATGCTTAGAGGACTGGCCAGAGGTCCCACTTAGACCAGCATTTGGCACCACTTCAAACCCTTAGTTTGAAGTCTCATCAACCAGAACTGCAGTTTATGCTGCTGACCAAATACTGATTCATATAATCATGCCTATCATGTAAAAACTTGCTTGGTGTGAAACATCTTTCAAGGTTTGAAATTTGTTTCTTTCTTTTTCTTCTTCAGCAGTAAGTTGATTAATAAATAAACAATAAGCAACCCTGTTCATTCCATGAAGAAGTCATGTAAAAAAATTCAATGAAGTCAAGTTCTGTAATTTGCTCTCATTTACTGGGTTTTTTTTCTCTTGCTATTTATGTTTATTTTTAGTTAAATGCCGTATCATTGTCCTTTATTGATAACTTTAGTGATCATCCCTATTACACTCAGAATGTTAAGAATCCATTGAAACAGTCTTACTTAGTATTCTGTGCTTCAGGAAAGAAAGAGGCACAGGAAGCAAAGTTCACAATCCTATTGCCTATTCCCAATTAAGCAACAGGCAATGTTTATTTACACTAGTCCTGAGTCAGCTGTAGCAGACATGCAACAAGTTGCTCCTGGACTGCCTATACTTCACTTTGTCTGTTCTCAGGACCTGTATAAAAATGGTGAGAGCCCTACATCAGGTATGTCTGAGGAAAGAAATTCTTTTTTGTATGTAAAAACATGCCTCTATGTGCCAATTATGAAAAGGGGTTTCAGGACTGTTCAAATTTTCTATAACTATGTATGTCCTCCCTGCAATGTTATGACACTTTAAGGAAATTAATGTTTGTACCCTTACTCTTAGAATTATGTGAATATTTCTTTTTTAAATATATCTGTGGATTGCAGCTTTTTATCCCTATTATTCACATAGCAATCCATAAATCAGATTTGTGCAATTTCAGCCATAATATCTAAATAATAATTCCTTAGGGAATGAACCCAACATTCTTTTTTCTGGTTATGGTAGCGCAGGAGTTAATTTAGTCTTGGAAAAAGGAAGTTACTCTCAGTGTTGGCTGGAGGCTTAAAGAGTCATGCCTGCATCTGTATTTGTTCTGCTGAGCCACACCCCTTTCCACAGAAGAATGAAATAGTTGGTTTGCTTCCGACTAGCACACACTGGATGAAGTCAGTAAGCAGACACGAAGCACCAAGCTCCTCTTCACTAATATGTGGAGTAACAACATTCAACAAGCAAAAATGCATGTTTTTAAAAACTGAAGTTTGATAATGGTCACCATGAAAACTCTGCTCTTACTGACAACTGGACTGTTCTTTCTGTCCTTCTGTTTGTGCCAAAAAGGTAAGGCATCTGTGTTGTGTCTCAGTAGTTTTCTGCTTTTATTTTCACAATGAGGAACCTAGTCAAAATAATATATCATGGACTATTAAATAAATCTCCAGGCAGCTCTTTTCAAAAATTGTATCTGAGTTGCGATCAAATACTTAATGCCTTTCAGTTTTTCAGTAGCAATATCTGACAGGCAAGTGTGTGTTGCAAACTTTCTATTACATTCTGAATGTCAAGAAACCATTGAAACACTCTTGCTTATTATGAAGTGGGAAAAAATAAAATAGTTACAAAACATTTGGTCATAAGTATTTAGGATTTTTAGGATATGTTGTATTTGCAAGCAGTATTTTGTTTTTGTATAAAGCTCCCTTTTGAGTAGCCTGGAAAATATTCATCTTACATTCCTATAACCGACTGGTAATTAAAAGTATGTCCACGTCCCAATGCAGAGTTTACGTTAATAGAAGCCAACCAGGAATTCTATATATACAATTTAAAAAAAATTTAGCTCAAATTCTAGAGGACCAGTGACAGCAAACACAATGTTTTATTTGGTATGTTCGGAGTCATCTAATCCAACCCACTGCTCCAGGCAGACTGCAAACACGGGATGCAGCCACACCATCCCTGACAAATGGCATCTAGCCTCTCCTTAAGTACCTCTAGCATAAGAGAAGTGGTCAGTTTGTTCCACTGCAGATCAGCTTTCATTATTAGGAAATTTCTCTCATTTTTTATCCAAAACCTGCTTCTCTGCAACTGCCAAGCATTGGTTCTAGTTCTCTCCTCTGGAGCAGCAGTGAGCAACTCTATTTCATCTTCTGCATTACATTCCCAAAATAGGTCTCCCCTTTAACTTCCTCCAGACTTCTTAACAGAAGCCTGTTCTCAACAATGCCCTTGCATCAATAAGGACACATTCTTAAGCACGTTTAGACCGGGGGGGGGGGGGGGAGAACCCCTCCTACAGTTTCCAGCACAACTAGCTGGTGCTGTATGGTTTCTCCCTCTTGTCTAAATGTGCGTAAGACCGTAACTTAAAGAAATTACTCAGGCATATTACAGAATGTTTCCATAGTAGTTTATCAGTTGGTACAGAGAATCTGGGAAACTGCTAAGATACCAACTGCCAAGGGTGGGGGAACAAAACAAAACCCCCAAGAAAAGCAGAATAGTTGCTTGTTTGTTTTCATTATTTGTATTTGTGTCCTTGCACCTTTGAAGACTTGACCTGTGACCATTTTTCCAGCTTTAAGCACAACTGCAGCACAAGACTGCCCAGCGCCGACTGGCAAAGCACTTTTCATACATGTGACAGGTAGAGAGTCTGTGGGGGAGGTGATATTTGTCCTGCCTTCTGCTGCCCTGACATGTCCTGCAACATGGATCCCTCACTGCATTTTTAACAGTCATTTCATTTCATTTAGTTGCATTTTGCAAGTACACCAGAGCCACATTTTTTAAATGTTTGACTCTTCCTTCAGCTAACGGTGGGATTGTTAGGACTGCAAAGAGAAAACTAGATCAGGAAATGAGTATATGCCCTCACAGATTCTGTACTATTTACCTGTTTGATGGCTGCAGAGTGTTGTCTCCTGGAGTTTGGCTCTAACAGGCTGATTATAAGAACAGATTAGAGCTACGCTATGCCAGAAACAGTGGCGGGAGGGTAATAAGTACCTGCCAGTGGAACCCTATATATGTATCTACTAGAACATGAATGCTATCACATGCAATACAGCCAGGTACATGGGGATCGGCCTGCAGCCTAAACAATCAAATGCAGTAAAGCCAATGGTTAAGAGAAGCAGGAGGTGTCCTAAGCCACATTGAGTGGAGACATTTTTGCTAACTGTAGGCTGCAGTTCAAAATATACTGTCTACAACGAAAAAAGATGTACAATTTCAGCTATGCAGTTGCAGTCAGTAATGTCTCACTCACGTTTGCTTTTGCTATGAGAAAGTCACTGAGAGATGGTTACACAATATTAAGTGTCATGTGGAAATAGAGTTTGACTCTTCTTTCAGCCAGTTTCCTTACACACATATAAGCAGCATTAAAGGGATTTTGTGTGGAAAGGGATATTTACAGGTGGTGAAAATTTCTGTCGAGCTGGTCAGACCACCCCTCCCCACCTAATTAAAAATAGATTAGCTGCTTCCGTAGCTTTTAAGCCAGAAATCAAATTCCCATTTGCTCTATAGGAGGAATTAAGAGGAACAGGTACCATGCTATATAATTATTCATTCAATATGGTTTTTAAAAAATCTTATTTTTCTTGAGTGAATATGTCCTTACTTTGTCCCCAGTTGTTTTATCTACAAACATTTCTCTGCAGGTTTAAGTGTCAGAGTAGGACTGGGAAGACCCAGATTAAAATTCCCACTTAGCCACAAAAGCATACTGAACAGTCATTGAAAAGAGCCGATTTATACATGTCAAAACCATCACCACTTACAGAGGAGAAATGCCCTTACAAATAGCATATTCAAAGAATCACTGCTTATTTCTGTTTTCAAATCTAAATTCCTACAACTATTTTTCTTTTCACCTTTTAGGCAACAAATGTGACAACAGCAGCCTGGCCGGCCAACATGATGAACTGCACCCTAAGACATACCGTGGTACTCCACAAGACACGTATGAGGCAATTCCTTTTTCTGCCATAGAAGGGAGAAAAACCACCAGTAATAGCAAAGAAAATAAGTGCTCATCTAATGTCTCAGAACTGAAAGTGAGCAACTCTACAGTGAAGTACCTTACCAGTTCCCTGAGTGTGAAACTAATTCCCGCTATATACATAGCTGTTGTTTTAGCAGGAGTGCCATCAAATGCCATCATTCTGTGGATGCTGTTTTTCAGAATCAGATCAGTCCGTACTGCCATATTTTACACCAACTTGGCTATTTCAGATTTTATCTTCTGTCTTGTGCTGCCATTTAAAATTGTATACCACCTGAATGGCAACAACTGGATATTTGGAGAAACAATGTGCCGAATCACAACTGCCATCTTCTATGGCAACATGTATTGTTCTACACTACTACTCGCCTGCATCAGCATCAGCCGTTATATAGCTATTGTTCATCCATTTACTTACAGGAATCTACCTAAACGACCCTTAGCAACATTAGCCTGTGGGATTGTATGGACCATTGTTTTGTTGTATATGTTGCCTCTGGTCATAATGAAGCAAAGTTACCATCTGAAGCAACTAGGTATCTATACCTGCCATGATGTTCATAACAGCTGTGAAAAAATGTCACCCTTCCAACACTATTACTTCATCTCACTGGCAGTATTTGGATTTGTGATTCCTCTTTGTATTGTTATCTTTTGTTATGTTTCAATTATTCGAACACTCAAGGCATATAATGAAAAATGGCTCTGGTACATCAAAGTCAGTCTCCTAATCCTTAGCATTTTTGCAATTTGTTATACCCCTAGCAATGTCATATTGATTGCTCATCATGTAAATTACTACTACTATTCTAAAGACAGTCTGTATTTTTTCTATCTCATTGCTTTATGTCTAAGCAGTTTGAATAGTTGCCTTGATCCATTTCTTTACTTCTTGATGTCCAAAATTAAGGATAATAAGAATGTTTATCTCACCCAGATTAAAATAGCCCAGGAAGAATGAACATGACACACTTCTCTTTTGTGATACTTGACAAAGTTGTACATCCTTAATTTCTTTACAAGATACACTATTTATGCTTTCTACTTTTATAACAGCACAGCACAAATAATTTGTAGATATTTATATACTTTAAGGTTGCAAACTTTAATTGATTTCACTGAGGGAAAATTGATGGAGCCGAAAGCACATTGCTTTATCTTTCTCACACATACACATGTGCAGGTGGGGACCACAAGAGTTTGTTTTGGTTCTACTACATCAATGTAATATGGAATGAAAAAGAAATGATTAAATATGGGTTTCAAGCAAGGAATGGCAGCCTACATTGTAAATTATTTATAATTCATTCAGGATCTCAAAAAGGTAGCTATATAGCATAAATGTGGTTTTGGTATTATGTAACTACATTCAAATGTAGCTAATTAATAATCCGTTAGAAGATAAATTAATTAACCAGTAGCTTAATACTATGGGTGTAAGACACCATCTAGATAGCCAGAGGATTTTTTTGATTCTCAGTTACAAAATTGGAAAGTCACTCCCACCTTGTAGCTGGGGATCTGTGTTCAGATGTCCCTCCCCACACCCCCATGGCTAGCATGACAACCTTTGAGATGGGCTTCGAGGGCTTTCCTGGGGGCAGAGAGAAGAGGGGAACAGCACCACCAAGATATGATGCATCCTGGCAGAACTTCAACTTCCTTTCTTCACCGTCTGAAGCACTGCACTTAGCTGAGACTGGCCATATTGGTACTTTGCAGGGAATGAGAACTGTGAAGGCAACTTCAGTCCCTCCACACAGCTTCTGCCTTGTGTAGAATGCACATAATCCTCCAATTATGAGGATTAGAGGCATCCTGATTGAATTGCATCTTAATATGATTTTAGCTATTGATCATACTAACACATTTCTTTCTACAAATTAAAAAGGCTAACAACAGAACACAGACTGACTCTGTGGTGCTCTGCTGTGCCAGTGCACAAACCCCAAAATGAATGGAAAATACTCATTTCCAGAAAGGAATAGGCTAGTGGAGCTCAGAATACGAAGTTCCGCTAAACAGCGTATCCAAGCAGCACAAATGAATTGGATCAATCTCTGCAGACTTCCGCAGCTATCAGGATTTATATTTTGAAAGCACATCATTTTAACTTGTGAGAATATGTTTTCAGGCCATAAAGCCTGCTAACTGTACTGTCCTTTACAGTCCTCCAGTCTTTGTATATATTCAAAGCTATTGTACTTGATATGTATATATTTGTTATTCTGATTTTGTTTATATTGAACAAGGTAGTAGAGAAAACCCACCACAAAGGAGACATTATTGAGATGTCACCCTGTTCCAGTGAAATGTTGGGCAGTAATGACCACAGTCTGTAAAGCTGTTGGAGTGTCTACAATTAATTATGTGGAGCAGTTAAAACAAAAGACAGTAGAACTGGAAGAATCCTATGGTTATATGTTACCACTACCAGTTCCAGCTGTAAGAAGTATGTGGTATACCATGGGACTGCCTTTTCTGAAAATCTAATTTATGACTGATATATTTGTATGGCCAATGCAAAAAATCCTTGATCAATGTAACATCAAGGGTAATGTTTGCACTGGTCTGATAATGCTGAAACAGTATTTTGTGATGTCTTGGCTGTATGAGAACAAATGCAAGGCACAGGTATGTTGTATCTGCATGGAAGGCAAGGAGAATCTAGAGTTATGGCTACTTATAACACTAAGTGCTTGGAATGTAACTCCTTTTACTTTGATGGAACTGGAAGACCTTTCCAAAAAAAGCACTTGGCTGATACTCAGTATAATCTAACACTTGCTAGGTCTTGCTCCCTTCTTATGAGATAGAAGAGGGTACAGAGCAACTTTACTGAAGATCTGTGCTAGCAGCTGAACTAGCTTAATATTTCTGTAAAGGAAAGATTAAGGAGGCAATGTTTGTTGATCGGCTGCACCCTGATATCAGTGTAAAGGATGAGATAAGGCAATCGATAATGTTTATTCATACAGTTTGATTAGCTCTTGAGTACAGGTTCTGATTGTTAATGCTTGTTTCCCTCACAGAGGCTTGGCCTCTTCCGACTGGTAGAACCAGTAGTAGTAGTCCTTGTGTTCAGCTCACAAGGAATACTATAGCATACTCTTATTTCTGACTGAAATGGCTGTTTTTACTGAATGGTTTCACATTTTTAAATAAGTTTATATACTTAACATATTAAAATCTATACAGTTTATAAACTGACTGTTACTGATACTCAATTGTGAGATTTCTGGAGTACTGTTTCATGTGCATCACCTATATAGCAATTTAATTCATAATGTAATATATAATGATGATGGAAAGTGAGAAGGGCTTTAGATAAATGCTGAAGCACCTGCACTGCATGCAGGTTCAATCCTTGGCTTCTCCAGGTAGGGTGGGGAAAAATCCTGCCTGAAACCCTGGAGAGATGCTGTCAATCAGTGTCAACAGTACTGAGCTTTATGAACTAGGGGTAAAGCATAAGAAAGCTTTCTCTACTCCAATACCATGCACAAACTGGCAGAAGGTAATGGTTATAGGTTACCACTACTAGAATTCAGGAAATCTGACATTTAGCATTGCATAGCATGAAAATGATAATGGATAAAACTTTACCTGGCATTTAAGTGTTTTTGCATTCTTCAGAACCTCTTGGTAATGGTAGGCATTGGCTTCTTTCACACCATGCAGTTTTGCCGTAGGAAGTAACAGTGCTTCTACTGTTTTTGTAGGATCTCCCCGATCAATAGCTTCATTAATACAACCAATTGCTATAATCCCTAAGCAAGAAAGAATGAAGTTCCTAATGAATAGGCTATAAAATAGCCACGAAAGGAACACATTTTTTAGCCATTTGATAGCATGAATGGTGCTGGAGAGCTTTTGAACATCAGAGCCCTGCACACCCTATGTTAACCTGGTGCCCTCTGGTACAGCAGAGACAGCCAGTGTGGAAGTGAGATTGAACTGATAGTCTGGTTAGCTCCTGTAACAAAATTGGGAGTGTAGGGATTTTGTTTTCTTCAGCCGACAAAAATTGGTACATCCTTGACTAAGATCATGTATCAATATTCAAGGTTACTGTCTAAGAGTTCTACTTATCATTTGGCTCATAATTGTTAAATATAATTTCCATCAAACAAAAATCTCCTTGTATTTCAGAATATCCAGGTGAAAGAAACAATTGGGAGTTTTTGGGGAACCCCCAAGCAACTTTTCTAATGCAATTGGGTAGGAATATAGGAACAGATATGGGTGAAAATCACCAGAAGAATGTCAGTTAGCTCCCCCTTCTCTGAAAGGGCATCTCTTTTGTGGCAGATCCTGTCATCTACCTGGGTCTTATAATTTGCTTCTTAGCAATGCCTTGGCAACAGATGAGCCATGCTGAGTCTGCACAGAGGTATCTAGTACTAACACAGCTCATACTGCCATTGCTCAGCACAGATGTCTGAGCCCTTTGTGGAAAATACAGTTTAGATAGGCTTTTGCTGATTAACAGAACAAGTCCTGCTAATACCCACTGGAAGCACTCCAAGTCTCCCATTTGGACAACTGTATGTGGAATTGTGCTGCAATCTTGCTAACCCCATGAAAACTCTGTTCTTTCCAGGCTATTTTCCAAACAGAGTTATTTGGAGAGGGGGCAATGCTGGCTCTTCCCAACTTTAGTGGACAATATGGGCTCCTCTTTAGCCACTATGCAGCTCTTGGTGGATTAACTAAGTTTCAAATTTGTAGCCTCAGCACCCTGAAATGTTTTTGAATGAATGAAACATTATGAAGCAATACATGAATGCTATTTAATAGAAATGTATCAGTACTCTACTGCACTGCAGTAAGGGCACAATCCTATGCATGTTTAGACAGAAAGGTTCCTACCACTGCAAGCATTCCATAGCCAACATATCCTGTCTCAACATGCATAGTATTGTGCCCTACATTGTAAACCAAGCCCTAGGCAGAACAGCAAAACACTTACTATCATTTTCCTCTTGAATTTGTGTATTAACCATGTCAATACAATTCTGGATATCATTCCAGCTTAAATATTCTTGTCCTTGAGATGAAGCTTCCAACTTAATAGACATTAGGGTGTCAGCATAACTGTAAAGAGATAAGAATAAATTTATCAATATGTATTGCAGTAATAGGTATGGACCCAGCACTATATTTGTTAAAAGGAAAGTGCTATAGCTTAATACTCAGTTGAACATACCAAACAGCAATTCATACACATCTACAATTCTTCCATTTTCCTGCACAATGGACATTCTGTAACATGCATTTCACTCTCTCATAGAAATACATCTAGAATAGAAGCTGTTACCGTTGCAAGTTCTCATTTTCCAAGTTATTAAAGCCAATGGATGGGTTGCTAAGATGTGTTTTTGTTTCTGCTATGTTCTTGTTTTCCAAAGCCTGGTTTAGCAGCACCACTGCTGATAGCATTTCAACAGCAATAGACAGTTCATCATGAGCCAAGTAGTGCTGTGGGAATATCATCATCATCATCATCATCATCATCATCATCATCATCATCATATTTTACCATAATATAAAAAGAACCTGTAGATTGACCTTAAAAATGAAGACTCTCAAAGCTTCAAAATCAATGCCTTACGATATAACAGATGTTATACCTACTTAGAGTAAATACAGAGAATTGAAGAAGGCTTAAGTCAAACCAACAACCTTAACAGCTGATGAAGATAGGTTCAATAGCTTACATATATTAGTCTGGTTCCCATGTAATATTAATCCAGGTATTAAATAAACCATGGTATTTTCTAAGTGACCTGGTTCACACAGAATGACAACTCATAGTATAGTGTGAGTATGGAATGTTGTTGAATTGTGGGTTGTTGCTACATGTGAACCCCGCATTATGTTTCAGTTCTGGGTTGCAAAGCATGAAGAATCCAGAATTCACTATCAAAGACAATCCACTGATGTCCTTCTAGTGCTGTTGATGGTTAACAAATCCCTAGTTCCTTCTGGGTTTACATGTAACAACAACCCACAATTCAAGAAACCAAGGTTTAATTAACCATGACTTGTCATTACGTGTGAACCAGGTCATCGTTGTGATACCTCATATGTTTAATTAATTAATTAATTAAAACTTGTATATACCATCTCATCACTCTCCCATCTGATGCTAGCAGAGAACTACTTAGTTCAATAAGAAATTGACTAAAGCAATGCTCTAGCTACTAACATTCTTTGCTCATACGAAATGACTTGTTTCTTTTCTTTGGTTTTGTCCCTCTGTTCTCACTCACCCCAATTTTGTTGGGCAAATTACAGAGTTGCCCTTCTGAAGTGAGGGCCACTTTCAACAGGTTCTGCTCTCTCCTGCAGCAGTGGAGAGACCTAAATATAGAGCCTTCTGAATGAGATGCCAGAGGATCTGCTAGAAGGTATCTATACTCAGAGCACAACATCTGAGGTGGAATCAACACTGAAGACTAATCAACATTATCAGTGTCAGGGAATTAAGTTTTTCTCCCAATAGCAAAACAAGATGTTTTTCTGCTGAATTAGTGGACAGGACCATTTTACCTCCCTCTCCCTCATTTCCATGAAACTACAGCTAGTAGTAATCAAGTTAGATGTGCAAGACATGAAAATGGGATACAAAATGTGGAGTAAAGACTGTGAAAAGCACAGAAATTTGAAAATGAGGTTAGTCACTAAGACAAAAATGAGACAAATCCAAAATATATTTGTAACTACCTCTGCTATTCCTTCATGATTCAAGTTCTGGCCCCTGTGATGGTTATAATAATGGATTTCAGTTGCCAATTACCTTAATTTGTAATGAAAGTTTTATCTCTGACTTCAGTAGTGGGAGGTCATAGCTATACAAATGTTAATCAGGATATGGGACCAGAATACCTAAAGGAACGCCTCTTTCCCTTTATGCCTTCCCACCCCCTAAGACTGGCAGCAGGGGCCCTCCATCGGGAACCCTCTTTGAAAGAGGTCAGGAGACAGAGTACTCAGAGGAGATCTCTCTGCGGTGGTGCCCCGACTATGGAATGCGTTCCCTAGAGAGGTCTGCCTGGCACCATCATTATATTTTTATTTATTTATTTTTCGATTTATATCCTGCCTTTTTTCTACAAAGGGCTTACGGCAGCTTACATCCTTCTCCTCCTCCATCTTATCCCCACAACAACAACCCTGTGAGGTAGGTTGGGCTGAGAGTCTGTGACTGGCCCAAAGTCACCCAGTTGGCTCCATGGCTGAACGAGGACTCGAACTCAGATCTCCTGAGTTCCAGTCCCATGCTCTTAACCACTGCACCACACTGACTTATATGTTTTTTGGCGTCAGGTCAAGACCTTTTTATTTAACCAATATTTTAAAGTTAATTAATTTTAATGGCATATTCATTTATTTAATTCATTTTAACTATCTTATTTTATAATCAGCCATGGTGTAGCCAATTTATTTATTTGTTTAGGATTGGTGGTTTTAATGTTTGTAAACCACCCAGAGAGCCCTCTGGGCTATAAGGGTGGTATGTAAATGCAAATAATAAACAAACAAACAAACAAACAAACTCAAAGAATTAGATTCCAATATTTGTGGTTGAAAGCCTCCATGAACAATGCATGTGTAAAGTTCACCTGAAGTCATAAGAAATATTTATGCAGTACAAGTAGAAGCAATTGAGAACAGGTAAACTCTTGGATAACTTGAGGTAGCAATAAACAACTGTTTCTTAATCATGCAGTGGGTTTCCATCTTACCACAGCATTCTGCTGCTGAAGATTGAAGAGTTCAGTCTGATAGACAGAAGCAGCAGATGGGTAAACATCAGGCAGCTGGGCCTCAGGTTTCATTAGAGCAGCAACAGTCTTATTTGGATCACAACTGCGAATTGCAGCATTGATGTTGTCAACTGCAGTAAGTTCTATGGGCAGGACCAAAAACAGATGCTCTTGTTAAATTTGTCCCATTTAATATGATATACCTGATATCCCCAGTGATACCACTGTCAAAGAAATTGCTCATGGGCAGTAGGAACGTTTGTGTAGGTCGATATGACAGGAGAGATAGGATATGCCCATCTTGGTTTGAACACTGGGTGCTTTTGCATACTTTCATATCCACATTCTATAGAAGGACTAGAAAATTAGTTTTGTTTCTCTCTCCCCCTAGTGAATAAATTATTATTAAGTTCCTGTACCAGGAAGCACCTTCAGATGGGAAGTTAGTTGTCCCAGTGCTAATAGGAATCTGTACCAGATGCTGAAATAAATAGAAACCCTTTCCTTGTTTTGAGTCTACAGAAGCATGTACTAGATCAGAGTCCTCCTGACAATAGTTTGATAGTTTAATACAATATATGAGGGTTCTTCAAAAAGTTTCCACAGTTTTAAAAACTCTATATTCATTAAGAATTTCAAAAACAAATTACATCACTTTTCTACATAGTCACCTTTCTTTGCAATGCATTTTCCCCAACGTTGTACCAACTTTTTAATGCAATCAGCAAAAAATATATAAAATATAAAAGTGCAGAAACTTTTTGAAGACCCCTCATATTTCTTTTAAACAGCAACAATGCTTATTTGAGTGGCTTCCTTTATAGTCAAGATTTTCAAAAGTACGAGCACTGCAAATAGTGAATGATGCCCCTTTCAAAGTTGAAAGAAACTAAAAACATAGTGTTCTCATGCTGTATTTCCAGGGTACACATAGCACACAAAGAGCTGTTAGACTGATGAATCCAAGTGAAACAACAGAGAGGATAAATTGCCATTAAGCAAGCCACAGAAAGCATGAAATGGAAGGGCATTTCAGAAGACAAGCTCTAATATTTCAGGAATCAAAGAAAGGCAACTGATAAAAATGCAGCTGCAAATTTAGAACCCTCTTAAATATAGTTCTTTGTGTTTGAAATACTAACTTAAAACACAAATTGTGCATATTTTTAAAAATAATGTTTCTGCCAATTCTAGGAGACATGACATCTCAAAATTCTGTTTGTTACTATATGAAAGTGCAAAGCAGGTTGAAGACTATATCTCATATTTCATTTCTAATGAAATTCCAGGTTGAAGACTATATAGTGTATTTAACACATTGCCTGAATCTGGCTAAGAATGCAATCTTGGACAAAAGAAAGATTAGACCATTGAGTGACTTTGCAATGGTGACACCAAAACAGAAGTGACCAAGTGAAGCACCATGCAGGTAACGTAGGGCTTCTCTACATGAGGCTTTTAACCTAATATCTTGAAACTTCAGTTTCTGGGTTCTTCGTGACATTAGGAGAGCATCCTTTATCCATTTCCCCCCTACGGCTTTTTCTTTCTGCCTTTCCATGTCTTCATATGATCCCTTCTCAGGGGACACTGCTAATAAAAATATGAATCATGGAAGAATAGTTCAAAATCACAAGGGGAGTCAGCAGTATAGTGGAACTGCAAAAATAAACAGGCTTCTCATAGTGCAATTTCCAGACAATAGCAGGTGTTCAGAAAACAAGGAGTGGGCCTTGAGGATGAAGATACAGGTAAATCACCTGCAAGCTGCTAGAATGCACAATCAGTCCCTCATGCAGAGAAGCCTTTGCAGTCAAACATGATTGCAGGAATGGATATAAATGTTCTGCCTTAAATTTAACCATGTGACAAAGACGCAAATGAAATTTAACCATTTACTCACTAAATTTGTGAGAGCCTGCTTCTTCATTGGCAACACTAACGTCATTCTGTATCTCACTTTTGTCGAGCAAAAATGGAACCCCTGCTATCTAACAGATTAGAAAAAAGACATTATATATAGGGGCAAATGAGTCATCTTTACTATTGTACTCTTGGAACTGCTTTTGAAAACCATCTTCAAGGTCACTGTAAAAATGTGCTGCTTCTTATAGAAAAAAAGCACTTCTATTTTTTAACACGTATACACACTTTCATTTTTCAAAGTACAAAAGTATTTATTTAATAGGCAGTTCCCTGTGTTTCAACTTTTCAGAATATTTTTCAAAATATTTTCAAAATATTATTTTTTTCTATTCTGCTTGTAGATGATTTTAGCAATTAAATATATGTTGTACAGTCTACTGTAGTAAACCACCCAGATAGCTCCAAGTTATTGGGTGGTAGAATTATTATTATTAGGTAAAGTTAATCTAGACAGCACATTGTGCGTTGCCACAGAATACATAAAATAGTATGCAAGCCTCTCTATACTATTCAAAAGAGGGCCAGAGATCATATTAAAGAGGTTAGGCAAACTAATGGGTCACACTAGCACGTTATGTTCAGTTACCTGCATTCTCTGCCTTTTAGAGTCAAATAACTGTGCTAGGTACCATGAGGAATTTTGCGGCAGAACTTCAAGCAGGCTCAGAGCAGGGTTGTTCAAACCTGCCATCAGTGCCACTTCATCTTGCATGTCAATAGCCTCGTTCAGCTGGACTAAGGCTAAGTGAACTGAAAGGAAAACAATGCTTACAGATAACAAAATATTGTGAAATAGATTTTTTTTTCTTTTTTAGCCATTTCACACAGAGATTTTCAATCAATTTTTCACCCAGTCTTTTTAAATAAGCATGCAAGGACACATCAGACTCTAAGGGCCTGGGGCTGAAATTCAACATGTAAGAGGGGTCAAAATTTACAGTACTTTGCAGCTGGCAAGAAAGGAGAAAGAACAGGTGAAGTAGATCTGAATCAGTTATTGAGTCTGTTGTTATCAAGAATGCAAAAAGCTAAGAACATTCTCACCCAAGTTTAGTAATACAACATCAAGAGATCTCTCAAAGATTTCCAGAGAACTGCTGAATCCCTAAGATAGGCCTGTTTTAAAAATTGAAGAACTGTGGAAGAATAATTGAATATACTAATACTTTCCACATACAATTCAGGTTTAATATAAAACTCTCAAGTTTCAGGAAACTTTGGCTTCACAAGAAGTGAAGATTACTCACTGTTGACCTTATTGATGTTTCCCTGGATCTCAGCTTGTGTCAGCAACTCTTCATACACATCTCTTTCCTCCTCCAAAATAGAGCCATTCTGAAAACAAGCATACTTTTATTGAACAAAAAGCCTGCTTCTTTCCAGGTTCATATTGCTGATTTCAAGGTGGGGGTTATACCTGTGTGCGCACATGCACAAAGAGAAATTTAGTTAGGGAAGCAAGCGCTTAGGGAATATATATATATATATATATTAAAAACCCTCTTTATATATTTATAAATATAAACTTCAAAATTATATATTTAAAAAGTTAAACTGCAAAAATGCAGTTTGATTTTATTTGTTGTCTTTTTAACGCTCCCTATTAAATCAACAGCACCATCTCCCATAGAAAACCATTTTTTTGTATTATTTGAAGGGAAGTGGTATGAAAGCTTTGGTAGAGCTTCCTTACCAGATTATTTATTTATTACAGTAATCTGGATAAGAGCCAATAAACTGAAGTGGAATCCTGGAAAGGCAAAGGCCCTGTAGGTATGTAGTTTGCCAATCCAAGAGAAAGGCTCACTGTCTGTTCTGAAAGAGGTTACACTCCTGCTGAAAGAGCAGGTGCATAGCCCAGGGGTGCCCTTAGTTCCATCACTGCTGCTGGAGTCCCAAGTGACTGTGGCGGCTTGGAGTGCCAGCTATGAACTGCAAGCTGCAGCCTCCCACAGATGGTGATAGCTTGGCCACAATGATACAGACACTAATAGCCTCAAGACTAGATTACTGCTCTACAGTGAGGTATTGTTAAGGCTACTCTGGAAGCTAAAGCAAGTGCAGAATGAAGCAGATGGGCTGCTGTTGATAGCTGCTCCTTTCCAACATTCCTTGCTAAAGGAACTACATTGGCTGTCTGTTCACTACAGGGCCAGGTTTAAGGTTCTAGTACTGGTGTATGAAGACCTGAACAACAAGGAACTAGGATATCAGAGCGAGCACCTTCTCCCTTGTCAACATACCTGGTTGCTAAGGTCATTAGAAGACATTCTCCTTATGGTTTCACAACAACCCATGCCCCAAATGGAGTCCACCCCATTCCTATGAAACCCCAGGCCTTGGATGCAGAGGCAGGCAGAACACTGTACTGCTTTTGATGCCTGTTGAAGACATCCTTGTTCCAGGATGACTTTCTTGCTGACCAGTCAAGCTTTTAATGTTAACTTGTTTTAATTCTGCCTAGATATAGAGTGGTATACAAATATTGTAAGTAAGTAAAAACAATTTCTCAGTATGTTTTACCAGGGAATTTATCAGAGATGCAGGTGAAGAATGTGTGCACTGAACAATGTGATAAGGAGGAACAATACACCACCTAGAAAGGGTACAACTTAACTAAACACCAATGCTCCAAGATCATACAAAGTAAACTGGGGAGAGTCTAACTTTCTTGTCAGAACCAGGAATCCCCAAAGCAACTTTTGTCAGCTCTGCTGACATACTGAGTAAAGCTTTAGATGGTGAATTGTTTCTTTTCTTACAGCATATGGATTGCTTGCTTTTTGAACTTTTACTTATTGGGGAATAATGATAGTTTTATTATTATTAAAGATTTACATGATTTGAAAGATGCTTTGCTAGTAGCAATTGCTTTCTCCTGGAGATTTAGAGCTATCACTAAACTAAAATGTGTTTTAATTATTCTGCAGTAGCTCCAGTTTAGGAAAATATATCAATATATTTTGCATTCTATGTGCTTGCATTTGTTTTAGAACTAGAAGAGTTTGATTTCTGTTCGTTAAAATAGGGTGTACAAACAAATAATAATTCATTTCTAAGAACAGCATAACAGAGAACAAACACAGCAACTCAGTAAATTCAAGGTATCTGCCTTTTTGTATAATTTGGCTGGATCTGCATAGTAATGGAACTCAAACAAGTACGAACCTTTGTCTTACCTGTAGTGGTAAAAGAAATCTGTAAATAAAGTGACATCCAAAGATAGTTACACAGAATGTACCTTAAGTCTTGCATTCTCTTCTTTTCTCTTTTTAGCTTCTGAAAGTTCTTTCTGATAGCCAAGGGCAAGATCATCATTGACATTAACTAACACGGCATTGGGATTTTTCAGTGTTTTGACAGTTTGATCTGCAATTCCTCTTTCAATAGCTTCATTAATTGCAATTACAGCAGCATGCACTGAAAAAAAAATCAAGTTTTTAAAGAGAATATATGCTTTCCTACCAGACTTATTTTTAATTTAGAATTTGTTCCACAAATTAATGGCCAAAAAGAACCACAAATATTCACAAACCTAGAGAATAACCTAACACAACAGGACTCTTATGCTGGGAGATCAGGATTTTATTCCAGATGAAGCTTTATTCTGTAAGTGCTCAACTGCTTCCATATATTTGATAAATCCACCCAATTTGGCTTCTTTTTTCCCATATCCACCCCTCTTTAACTAAGTACAGTATCTAAAATTTTCAGTAGTTTTGACTGCTTACTTTCTTTCAGCTTCTGTTTTCTACTTATCGAGTTACATGTGTACTTTGCCCAGGATGGAAAAAGTTCTGAGCTTGGATTTTGGTATTTCTGAAAATGAGGGCTAGTCAGTGTTTCTGGATTCCACTGGTCCTACGGGTGAAACCCAAAGCCATCATATTACCATGTATTACATTATTACATCCCAGTTATGTCCTGCATCTTTTTTTCTGGTGAGAAATCCATGTTGTTCTATCGTCCTTCTCCACTCCATTTTACCATCACAACAAGAACTCTGTGCGGTAGGTTAGGCTGAGGATAAGTGATAGTCCTAAAGTCACCCTGTACAACTAGAAACTGGATCCAACATTCAGTCCTAAGTCCAACATTCTAATCACTACACCACACCTACTCTCTCATGGTAAGAGTCCAACTGAATCTACAACATTTTATCTTAAGACTCGACTAAGCAAATATCATGACTTCAACATGAAGCTAGCCTCCCCTCACACACACTTTCTCCTATTTTACATCCTACTCCAATACCTGCTTTTGTAACATCTTTCCTGATGAAGAAAACAGGAAAGCTTGGACAGTTTTGGTGACATCTGAGTGGGTCTAATAAAGGTTTTTCACTGATAGGGATTTTTACTGTGTGATCTATACACAATTTTAATGTAACAATATGGCTTTGTAGAAAAGGGGCAGTAAGCAGAAAGGCTTTATAAAACTGCAGTAGCATCTATTTGGATGCAAACCTAATTTACTTACTTATTTTCAATTAAGCATACTTGGAAACTTGACCTAACAGTGTAATCCAATGCATTTGCTCTCAGTAATACAGTCGATTAAGTTCAATGCTACTTACTCCTAGGAACTATGTACTATGACAGTACATATTTAGTAGGAAAATCTTTTAGTAGGAAACTCTAAAATTCTACATCAAATTAGATTCAAGGAAATTACAAAATATGCACCAACACAATATCAAAACAGTGCACTGCTTTTTTGTCCATACCAATAAATCCCAACCCTACTAGTATTATACTATTGTTACATTGGCCTTCAGGTTGCAATACAGATACAATATTGTCTTAATATTTTTCTATTGGGTTTTGTAAGGTTTATAACAAAAATGCTCATAAAGTGCTTTACGCATTCATAGGTACGATATGAAATCACATTACCATTATTTAGAGAGTTCAAGCTTGCACTGGTGTTGCTAATAGTACATGTTTAGTATGACTTTTTGTGAAGTTGTGTTTGGAAGAGGCATGTACACTGGGTATGTTCACACTGCACAGTAAACTTACTGTGAGTGAGCTAAGTGCAGCCCAGTTGATCTTGTTTGTTTATTTATTTAAAACTTTTGTATGCTGTCCCTTATGGCGTCTCAGGACAGCTTACAATCCTTAAAATCGAAATACAATAGAAAAACATATTTATAAATAACATAGTACAATAAAAATTTAAATCAAAATCAAAAGCGACTGCTAAAACGTTAAAATACTAATTTTTAAAATGGCAGTTAAATAAAAAGGTTTTGACCTGGCGTCGAAAAGAATATAAATTTGGCGCCAGGCACAACTCTCCGGGGAGTACATTCCACAATCTGGGCGCCACCACAGAGAAGGCCCTGCTCCAGGTAGATTTAGTGCTTCCCGCCAGCACAACCACTGAACAAATGGAAGCAGAAGCTGAGTTTGGCATGTAAACCAGGATCCTGACATATTTTTCCCAAACAAGCCAAATTTCATAAACCAAGAACAAAGCCCATCTGAGATTCTGGTTTGCAAAGGGAACAAGAAGCCGGTATACTTGGTTCGGACATGCTAAGCTTTCAATTCTGATTTGTTAGCAGTCACATGAGTGGGAGGGATCAAAGTGCTAATGGCCTATGTTAGCACACAGCTCATTCACATTCACAAAAACCAGAGTTATCCTGAGTCCTGACTTGGCATACTGTACAAGTGCAGCCATTTGGAAAAATTCATACCTTAGAAGAATTTTAGAAATTAGAAAGCATGGTGACATTTTTATACCTAGCACAGAGCCATCTTAAGAACACAAGAGCTGCGTTGGATGAGCCCACAGACCTGTCTAGTCCAGCACCCTTTTACCACAGTGGCCCATGAGTTACTTTATAGGAAGCCCTCAAGCAGGACACAAGAATAGTACAATCCTCCCAGCCATGTTCCACAACAACTGTTATTCTACTGAAATAAGAGCATTTCTATTTCAAGTGGGAAACTGAACATTTGTGAAGTAAGCATGTATTATGCTTCTTTCTGAGATTTTAAATTTTAATTTATTTATAAGCCATGATATATATTGTGACATATTTACATGCATCGTAGGCTGCAATCCTATATGCTCTTACCTAAGAGTTAGTCCCATTCAACTTTGTATAGGTTGTGTTGAAAACTACCTATAGAATAGGCAGTGGGCATATTTGCACATTGCAATAACTTGTCCTGGCATGGTAGGTTGGTTATTGTGTGACTAATCCATGGAGATAAGCAGAATGCTGAGGATCGTTCACCCTGTCCTCCCAGCTTGATCCTTCCATAGGACCCATGATGGATTGCTGTGTTATGGCAACTCAGTAAGTGTGTATTAGTCAAGTTGGTCAGCTGAAGCTAGTTCAAACTGCAGGAAGCCTCTGGCTTGTAATTTTTATTACATGAATAACACAATTCCACAATTTCCTCAAGTTTTACTTCTTTACTAAGTTTTACAAGTTTTACAATTTCTACTGGAGGTTTTTAGCTAGATCTTTGATCTGCAGAATAAAAAGTGAAAATGTAAATATGTCTAGCTAGCATACAAAGAGCATGCTAGAATTTTGTACTATTAAAGTCAGGGGAAGAAATTCTAGGATATTTTAGAGCACAGGATACTTCACTTGATCAAATCAGTTTTCCGATATCTCCAACTATAGCAACTTTCAGATACATTATTACCATATGTTGGAAAAAAGGGTTGGAATATTCATAATATTGGCCAGGAAAATGATGTGGTTGCACCTTCGGCAGCCCATTGTGATGACTTTGCCCAGCACTTTAAGGAAAAAAATCACCCAGATTCCCCGCGATCTGGACTCCACAGTTGATATGGCTCCAGTATGGGAAGTGTCCAGAGCACCATCTGGTCCATAATTATTGAATGAGTTTCAGTTATTGCGGCCTGATGATGTAGACAAGATGCTTGGAATGGTACTTCCTACCACCTGTCTTCTTGCCCCTCTTGGCTACGTAAAGAATCTAGTCACGGGATTGGTCCCTGAGTCCAGGAGGTTAACAATGCCTCACTGAGGGAGGGCCAGGTCCCTGCCACCTTGAAGGAGGCAGAGATCCAGCCAGTCCTGGACCCAGAGGTGGCTGCCAACTTTAGACGGGTGGCCAACATTCCGTTTTTGGGCAAGGTGTTAGAGCGGGTGGTGGCGGGACAACTCCAAGCACTCTTGGATGAAATGGATTATCTGGACCCATTTCAGTCCCGCTTCAGACCCGGCTATGGTACTGAATCTGCCTTGGTCACCCTGTATGATGACCTGTGCAGGGAGAAGAACAGGGGGATTGCGTCCCTGTTGGTTCTCCTGGATCTCTCAGCAGCTTTTGATACCATTGACCATGGTATCCTTCTGGATAGGTTGACCAGGTTAGGAGTTGGAGGTTCTGCATGGCAGTGGTTCCACTCCTACCTGGCCAGCTGATTCCAGAAGGTGGTGCTGGGGGACTAAAGCTCTGCGCCATGGCAGCTTTGCCATGGGGTTCCACAGGGCTCTATTTTGTCCCCCATGCTCTTTAGCATCTACATGAAACCGCTGAAAGAGGTCACCAGGAGGTTTGGGCTGCGGAGTCACCAGTATGCTGATGATACCCAGCTCTACCTCTCGTTTACATCTACTCCAGGTGAGGCAGTGGCTGTACTGAACTGATGTCTGGCTGAGGTAATGGGCTGGATGAGGACCAATAAACTGAGCCTCATCCAGATAAGACAGAAGTCCAGTTGTGGGCGGATCAAAGTTTCTGGTAAGTGATTTTGGCCTTGTCCTGGACGGGGTAGCACTCCCTCTAAAGGACAGGGTCCGCAGCTTGGGAGTACTTCTTGATCTGGGGCTGTCAATGGAAATCCAGGAGGCGGCAAGGAGTGCTTTCCTACAGCTTCGGCTGGTCCATCAGCTGCGTCCTTACCTGAATGAGCACTACCTAGCAACAGTGATACATGCTCTGGTAACCTCCCAGTTGGATTACTGTAACACGCTCTATGTGGGGCTGCCCTTGAAAACTGTCTGGATACTTCAGCTGGTACAGAACAGAGCGGCCAGGATGCTAACAGGAACCGGTTGTTATTCTCACATAACGCCAGTCCTCTACTAGCTCCACTAGCGTCTCGTTGAAGTCCGGGCCCAATTCAAGGTGCTGGATTTGACCTATAAAGCTCTAAATGGCTTGGGACCAGGATACCTGAGCCTATATTCTTTTTGGCACCAGGTCAAAACCTTTTTATTCAATCATTATTTTAAAAAATAGTATTTTAATGGTTTTAACAGTCACTTTTGATTCAATTTATTTTTATTATTTATATATTGTTTTATTATATTGGTATTGTTTTATTCTGATTCTAATATTGTAAGCCATCTTGAGATGTCATACATAAGGGATGGCATATAAAAGTTTTAAATAAATAAATCTATCTGTTAGGCAAACTTACATGCTGCTTCATCCACCGAAAGTTCACTGGCCAGGATTCCTCCAATTTTACTGAATGATGGCATCTGTATACCATACTTCTCCAGTTCCTTCCGCATGTTACTGATTTCTTCCTCTAATTATTGTGGAGAGGGGATAAAAGAAAAGGAAAATGTTTATAGGAATTTTTTTAGAATTTATTACATGACAAAAGCATGCACAATTGACATAAACAGCAGGCTCTTAACATCATTCTTTCCTTCAATTCTCCTTTTCCTTTCTTCCTGTTTGAGAAAACTGTAATCCAGAAAACTACAATGATGTTACCTAACCAGTTTTTAAAAAGCAGAACACATTCTGTATATAGCTATTCTACAGTCACTTCAGCACAGAAATATGGAGAAAGTTAGGGGAGTAATGAAAAATGATCACATAAACATAGTGGCACTAGAACTTTCAGTAATATAAGTATCTGTTAAGATATAATTGCAAAAAAATGTTAAAGGTACCTGTAAAGTCTACTTTCCCAAGCAAATCCTGGATCTGTGGAGCTATCCCTAGCTTAAACAAATATAAACTACAAAGAAAAACAGAAAATAATGTGTTATACCACAGAGAATTAATTTAGAATCTATTAAACAATTAGCATCAGACGAAATAGATTGCTGTGTATTAAAACTTATTCTAAAATATATGTGCTGGTTCCTGAGGTGCCAGAGGAATCTTTTTCTGCTTTTTTGTTAGACAAAACTGCTAATCTCTTGAAATTATTTGCAAGCTGCTTTTCTCTAGAAACAGACTTTTGGTATTTGGAGATGTCCTGTGCTCATATCAGTACAGATGCCTCATATAAAACTTGGCATCAATAGTCAAAATAATTTCAGTAAAAACTGGTTCACACACCCCAAAAATAAGTAATGTTTTTATATACAGAATGTGGAGATTGGGTGTTACAGCCTTTCAAGAGCAATTCACTTACCATCAAGTGTTCAAATGTTTCTGGGAATCTGAAGCAAACTTTGCATTACAGAAAACAATCTGGGAGTCCCTATTTTCATTTCTGGATTGCTCGAAAAAGCTAAATTACTTCCATTTGAAAATGTGCGTAGTGAAACCATCTGGACAACAGCTGAACAAATTTACATTTTTATTCATGTCTTCCTGCCATGTGAAATTAACAACTGTTAAGAGTATGGGGAATTTATTAAGATTACACAAGGGTCTAATCAAAGTTGTTGTTATAAAAGAGTCAAAGCAGCCCAAACCTACTTAGACAGCATAATCGGTGACCAGGGCACTTTTTAGACTTAAAACAAAGGAGGATCCCAATCTGGAGGAGTTTAACATTTCAGAAATTGGACTAGAATGATGCAGCAAGGAGAAGGCAAGAATTAAAAAAAAAGATATGCCAAGCTTGTAAGCCAATATGATCACATAGTGGATTTGGCCAAGTTTCTGGATGTTAGGGAATAAAGACAACAAAGGAAAAATACTAGAAGAAATGTTTCAAAAGCACCACTTTTTAGGAAAGAAAGGATTACAATTCCAAATATGCAGGCTTTTTTTAAGGAGGAAGCTCCAAGAGTGGCCAGGAAAAATGGACATCTAAACTAAAGGATAATAGATAAGGATTTAGATTAGTATACCTGCATTAGTCTGCTGCCACCACATATTAATACCACTTAGTTCTTCCTCTTGTGGTTTTAGATTTGTGAAGGCAGCATTACACTTAAGATCTACTTTCCTTCATTAGAAACTGTTCAGCATGGCCAAACAACTCTATTGCTACTTCCTAGGAATACAATGGAGCCTAGGAATCATTTTCAAGTTTGAACTGCTGACTCTACGAGTCACCAATACACTGCATTTTGATAAGCTTACAATCATGAGTTCAGCAATATAATTTCCACAGGGATGTAGCTTTGATTACCTAGAGAAAACATCTGTTTGGAGAACTATTGCTTACCACTAGAGGGCAATGCAATTTTGCTTTTCTTTGACAATGATATTACTATAACTACTAATGCAGCTAAGGTATGCTTTTATGCATAATGAGTATCACAACTGAAAATTGTGCATTAAAAGTGCTCTTTCCATTTTAACATGAAAAATTATTAACACAGACTTCTGTTTAAGCTTTAAACTAATAAGACTCTTTAAAAACATTTGTCACTTTGCTGTGAATTTACACACACAAACACAGACCCACACATAGTATGAATATGCAAAGCATATACAAAGGACACGCTTCACAAGTATTAACTGTGAAGCTTTAACAGTAAGAATCCACCTTAAATTCAACTGTAAGTCAGCAGTATGGCACAACGGCCTATTAGAAAGTGCTTGGTCTTCAACTCAAAGTATTTTTCAATGTATTGTATGCAACTTTATATACAAGAACAGAAGAACAAACTATGCCATTTAGCAAGGAACTGAAAATTTAAAAAATGAAAAGGTTTTAAGGGGAGTAAGTAAATATTAAAAATTCAGAGATTTAGCATGCACAAATTCGTACCAGGACAGTTACATGTAGTGACTTCTTAAAGATTTACTAAGCATTGTGCACAGGGGCAGAGTTTTGCAAACAAGATAGGAATTATACATTTGAAGTTTATATTACCATAATAATAGTAATAATTCATCAGGCATGATATCCAAACATGAATACAAAAGTATTCCTTATTTACAGCTTGAGAGCAGCATTATACTACAAGAATTCACACAAAGCATGCAGTATATTCACAACAGGCAAGGAAGTGCATAGTTTGGGAGTGCTCCTCGACCCAGAGCTGTCCTTGGAGTTCCAGGTGACTACTGCGGTGAGGAGCATTTTCCTTCAGCTTTGGCTACTTGGATGAGCAAAGCCTAGTGATGGTGACCTATGCCCTGGTAGCATCCCTATAGGATTACTGTAATGCACTCTACATGAGGCTGCCCTTGAAGAAGCGCCTCCTTCCATATATACCTGTCCGCCCCCTAAGATCTGGGTCAGAAGTCCTTCTTCATGAGCCCTCTTTGAAGGAGATCAGATGAGTGCCTACCTGGAGAAGGGCCTTCTCTGCAGTGGCACCCTGGTTATGGAACATGCTTTCCAGTTAATGAACATGCTTTCCCAATATTTTGAGTGTTAAAGTGTTTTAAGATGGGGTTTTATTTGAATTTTGTCCTCTGATGCTGTACTTTTATTTCATTGTACTACCATCCTAGGTCTCTTTAGTGAAGGACAGTATACAAAGGCAAGCAAGGAAGGAAGGAAGGAAGGAAGGAAGGAAGGAAGGAAGGAAGGAAGGAAGGAAGGAATCAAAGATGGGTGCCTCCAGATGACTATTTTATTATTCATTGTCTTGCTTCATTTACCAGATTTTGCAGGGACATCCAGACAATGTCTTCCATTCATAACCATCCATAGTTTCCCACTACTATTTGCGCCATTTTTCTTACCAGCAAATATCCACTGGGGGGAAGTGAGAATGCCCAATGTCACTCTACAACCCTCTTTCATGCACACCTATTTATCTCAGAGCAATCTAAAGTGGGGCCAGCACAAAGTAGGGCAGAAAATTCACCCAGGCATCCCACATTCTGCCAGTATACACTGGCTAGGGCAAAAGCGGAAGGCAGTTTTTTAAACTTGCTATTCTGGCTCCAGGCTGGCACAGACAAGGGCATTCTTGGGGCTCTAGATCTGATGGATCCAAAGTTGGGGTTGATTCATTCATAAACATTTTACTTCAGGGCCTTCAGTCAGTTTTGTTTTGTTGTTTGTTGTTCAGTCGCAAAGATGTGCCTGACCCATCACGACCCCATGGACAACATTCCTCCAGGCCTTCCTGTCCTCCACCATCCCTCGGAGTCCACCCAAGCTCACACCCACTGCCCCAGTGACTCCATCTAGCCACCTCATCCTCTGCTGTCCCCTTCTTCTTTTGCCGTCAATCGTTCCCAGCATCAGGGTTTCAGTCAGTTACCACTAGCAAAACTACTGCCAATAGTGGTCTTCCTGCCAGAGAGCTTTTTGTGAACAGAACAAGACTACTGGAGGGAGGGAGCCTATCTATCTGCAAGAGGCATCTCCATCTATGGAAGGGGACATCCACCCAGTCCAAACCCTCTGCATTAAACTACCTCCACAGTTTAAGAAAGCATGTTTATAAAAAGCATCATCACCGTCAAAACCAGACATTTTATAACAATGTACAATAATTTTCCATGGAAGGTAGTTCACACATTCATTTGACAATCAAACGTATACTGAGTAGTTCCTGAAATAAACTGATAACTATATATCTGATTCAAAGCATATATACCTGGAACAAGTGCTTTTGAAATTAAATGCTTTGCTTCCGAGTAGAAGAGTTTAGGATAGCAGCATGAATCTAAGCCACATCTTTCTTTGTACTTGGTGGCTTAGATACAGTATCCTAAACAAGGTCCAACTTGTTTGGGAAAGCTAAATTCCCAAAGCCAATAATACTGCAGAGAAGAGTGAAGAATATAAGGAAAACTGCTAATTGCCATTAGCATAGTTAAGCACAGCTGTATGTAATAGACTCCATGCCTATGTTTATTACTGCAGTCAAACAATCAGTCAAGCCATCTTCGGTACTCCAGCAGACAGAAAGATCTGAAACCCACTCTTTGCTCAACATACAGCAGAACATCTGAACAAAGATTGTGACATCACTGGAATGGAATTTAGCACCTTAAAAAAAATAAGCTGCTTAACATTAGAGAGTCTCTTGTGCCCACATCAGGAAACAGCTTCAAATTTGCAGTGAAACACGGTAACAAAAATACAGTGCTATAGTTTTAGAACACAGTAACTTTTCAGTTTGTATAGACCACAACTGCTCAGCAAAAAGGCTGTCCTTTAAAAACATCATAGCTTTATTTATTGTATTAAATACAGTTCAATTTCAAAACTCAATTCCGAGTATTTTTCAAGAAAAATTGACACATGGCATTTTAGTCCACCCATAAAAAACTATGGATTGGGTCTGGGACAAGACATGTTCTAGTTCCTTGGGACTAACTTGTTCCATTGGCTAAACTGGACCAATGCATAACTACCTTAATCTAGATCCAATCCTAAATCACCTCCTGTTTGGAGAAGGTTGAAGAGTGGGGAACCCTATATAATTGCAATCACACTTTGGCATCCCAGAAGATAGACTGTGTGTTTGTGGAGAACCATCCCTTGAAGATTTGGCTCATTATGTGTTTGAGTGTCAGACATATAGGGATATAAGAGAAAAATATTTAAATCCTCTTTTGCAGAAACTGAAATACAAAAGAGAAATTGTTCTATTTATTACAATCATCCAACCCATATGTGATACAGAGGATTGAGGTATTTACTGTTAAGCCAGTAGACATAGAGCAAAGTTTCTGGATTCTGTCCAAGTAAAGTGGATAGAATCTCTATACAGATTTAGAGATATGAAGGTAAGGGTAAGACTTGACACTAAAGACATATGCTATATGTCATTTTTATGTCTATTCACTATATTTTAATTAAATGTGTGTTCAGGAGTGGTATCTTGGACTGTTGTATTTTGTTTTAAATTTGATAATAATATTTTCAATGATCTGATTAAGCAATGAGCATATTACGAGTTTGAATACCATTTTCTGCTACTGTTTTGTGGTCTAAAAAACCTTACATCTAATACACATCTAGTCTTAGCATATACAGACAAGGAGAAGGAGAGCTAGGGGTGGATTATGAGGCAACAGTCCAGAGGCCTGCAGCTTGTGGGGGGCGGGGGGATGACCTCTCAGGGTGAGACACATGATGTATCTGTCATGTATGATGCATAGAATGGATGAAAACTCCATTTTATTCTTGTAATCATGATGGTACTATGATTTATGCAAATTAAAAATCAAAGCCTGCATCTGCTCTGAGTATTTTTTTCCCCTGAATAAGGGTTGACAAAAAGGTTTATAGTAGTTCTGACCTATCAGGAATATAAAAGTTGTAAAGCACAGGGTGGCTACTGGAAAAGGAAGAGAAACATGAGCTGTTTGTTTTAAAACAAAAGTAATACTTTAAAAGTGACTGGGAAGGTTACTTACATGCTCTTTACAAGCACGTTCATAGAATTCTGTATATATATTTCATTGGTTCTTAAACATTCATTTCTGGCACAGATTTTAAAGCCTAAGTTGTCTTCAGAGCTTGCAAAACTTTGATCAGTGTAATCAAGCAAGTTTTATAGCCAACTTCTTTGAATAACATAGCTTTTGAGAAAAAGAAAAGTGCAGACAAAATAGCATAAATCTAGCTTACCTTAGTGCATGAATACAATATATCATTCGAGGTATGTTTTTCCTATCATAGACATCTGTGGTCTCTGGGTAGAAAATCTAGAGGAAAAAAGAACATTCCATCAAGCATTATTTGAATAATCCAATACGTTTCATTTGCCAAGCTTGCCTCATTAAAACAGTGGCCAGGTCCATGTAACATGGTAACACAGTACAGGAGATCAGCTACAATGGGTTGTGTGTTGGCTGAACCAGCTGTGTTACCAGGAGGGTGGCAATTTGCATGGTGCTTCAAGTGCTTGTAGACTCTAAGGGCAGATTTGTGTGTTGGGTTTCAGGAGTAGCCACAATTGTTATATTCTGAAAGTTGCCATTGGCAGAAAAGCTAGCCAGGGGATCACACTTCACCAGCTGCTCTACCAAAGTAAGTGGCCTTGCCTTGTACTTCCTTCATGCTCAGTAACCAGGCTTCTGCTCTTCATCTGTGGGTCACAGTGCCATGCCTGGCTCTGAGGATGGCCCAGCAGAAGAACCTAACTACCACAGCCATGCTACTCTCCTTGCAGAGGGTGCTTCTGGCTGCTTAAAACTGCAGTTGTGCTCCCTTTATGTGCTTCTGGATGTGCAGAATGGCTGCTTAGCAGACATAATCATCACTTGCCACATTCTGTACAACATTTGTAAATCAGGAGTGTGGGAATGCTCCTCTGGTTCCCAGGCCAGAGGCAGAGAATGATACCGTTACCATCAACAATCAGCTAAATCAGCTCACACCAAATCCTCTCCACCTACATATGAAATGTGTAGTATCTGTACAGTTACTGCTAAGTAAATCTGTGGGCATTACTTTCATGCATACCATGCAAAGGAACTGCGCAGCATTTATAAAAGACTTACAGCTGCAGAATTTCCACCTGCAAGTTTTTATATTGGTTAGAATACAATATATATGCCTTCCCACCCCCCACTGATATCCTGATAGTCATACCCACAAACACACACTTTTTCATAACTATACTTTGCACAAACCTCAGCTATGTAAACTTTCCCCCTCTCCCAGTCAGCATCTGATAACATTCCTTGAGTGAGACCCCCAGTAGTCTAGTAATGCCCCACTTTTCACGTATAATCACACCTCATTCCTGAAGTGTGCAGGATGCCCTATTTATACATTGCCCCTGCGCCTTAGGTAAAGCTTCCCCTATGACCAAAGCCTACAGTTCAGAGTCCTCAAAGTGCTTCACCAAGTTAATTTAGATTAGTAACCACGACTGTTCCCACCATGCCAGTAAATATCTGCATAGCTTTCTACTAACCATCTACTAATAAAGATTTTTAAAGAGTTGTGTAGCTGTCTCTTCTTATAAGAATCAACAGAAGGAAACAGTTCATAGTGGAAATGGGAGGTGGTGCATGTGGGGGAAATCAGGCTGATGGCACAGCAGGGGTAGTGTAGCAGGTTAGCAGGAAGGCTTACATAACAAAGCTTATTGTATTATTAGAAATGGTCTGCGGGGGTGGAGTTGGCAGCATGAGAAAAATAGGAGTATCTGGCTAAATGAAGTGTGGGGGAGTGTAGAGAGGGGCCTTCGCTATTGCACATTATAGTCTACTCGAATGGATTCATCTGTTTCTGAGGAGGAGGAAGCAGAAGAGCACAGCAGAGCAGAGAATTCAGTCGTTTCAGTATTTCCTAGTGAAGATTCTCAGGCAGAGCCACCTTGGAAAGGGAGGCCTACATTTCACAGCTGGGGAGGAGGCAGTAGGCTAACCCACAGCACTCAGCAGGCCAAGCCAGAAGGCTGCAAAGGATCACAGGACCGGAACTTTCCTGCTAAGACCCTTGGGATAAATGACAGGAGTGTGTGGGAAGAAGATTGGAAATAAGCCACAATACAGCTTGGAGAAGCAGATCATTTGTTGGCACCACAATGCATTATTACCCAGCAAAAAATTGTTCCACTACGGTTATTCTTAGGGTGGCTTAGTGTGATGTGTGAACCTGACCTGGTTCCAATCTTTGCTCCTATGTTAACCTGAGCAAAAAGTTTTGCAGAAGACTAACCCATGTTGACAATTCAAATGTAAGCTTCAGTAAATTCAATAAGACTAACTCACCTGGGTATATGGATAGGACTGCAATCTGAATGTACAGTGTGGTTTTCCTCCAACACATCACAGAGACATTGCAGAAGGTCCCTGACCAGGTAATACAACAGAGAGGCAACTATTCCAGCTTTGCACCAGCATGCATTGCATCTATGCATGAATTGGTCTGCTCCCATGATGCATGCTGTCACTACAACTGCCACATTATAGTACTTGTCTGAGTGAGCAGCAAGCAGGGCTAGGTGTGGCAGTGAACAGGCAGCAGGGAGGGGTTGGAGGACAGAGCAGAGTGGGTTATGCGCTCTCTAAACTTGTCTCAGATGTAATATTACAAGTACCAGTCTGGTTGGCCTCTGTATGTGCAACTACAATCTTCATCTTGTCTTTCCCCCTCAAACAGCAAAATTTCCAGGGCAGCACCTCCAAGATGTCTAGTGCAGAATGTGTTCAGGACAAAAGCTCCTATCAGTCTCAGCCAACACGGCCAATTGGCAGAGATTGTAAACAAAGTAGGCTATTATGTGTGGAAAGCATCAGGTTACCTTTCCTTGGTCTAGAGCAGGGGTCTCAAACTCAACTTACCTGGGGGCTGCTGGAAGTAGAGTCTGGGTGAGGCTGGGCCGCATCAAGTATTCCACCACCGCGGTGGTGGTGGGCCACTCATCCTGCGGCCGGCCCGGGCGCCGCCGGTGCTTTGAAGGCCGCAGGGCCCCTCCCCCGTGCCCCGCCCATCCCAGCAATTGGTCCGCGGGCTGCGAGTTTGAGACCCCTGGTCTAGAGCCACCCCTAGCTTTATGGCTAAAAAGCTTGAGATCCTACTAGTTGTAGGTTTTGGCGCCTCCTACCTTTTAAATTGCAAGAATTTACTATGTCCTGTTTACTACGTTCTGTTGACCTATATGACTGACAACTGAGCTTTTTTTTACCTAGCCCCACCTTTCCACTGGCCAGGGCAATAAGCACTAAGAAATGAGAAAGCAAGTTTAAACCAGCATCTTTTTGTCTTGCATTTTAACTTTGCCACACTGTGATACAGCTTGAACCGGGGCTCCCAGAAATTTCAGCACTGATTTGGAAGACCATAATTAATTTTAAATGTTGATTAGTAAATACTGAAGAACCTCCAAATTTCATTACACTGGTAGTGCTGCTGGGTGAAGAGGAACAATGTGGTAGAAACAAAAATAAGCCAACTGGGCTTAAAGAAAATGGAAAATCTAAATGAAAAAAGGTAGAAAGTACTGATGAAAAATTACTTAAGGAAGACTGGGACTCTCTTCAAGATAACACTAGGCATAAATTTGGGAATTAAATACTGCAGAAAATTTAATCTACCACTTCACTTTAACATACTGGCAGTTCCCAAGTTGAGACAATCTTATATGGTAGCATGTTGTAAAGAGCTTCCAACTGCCCAGATTTCTTAAGATACCCCCAAACAAATGCTATTGTAACTGCTCCTCGTCAGAACCTGATACATCTTTTCACATTTTCTTTTATTGCCCAAAATATGAACAGGCAAGAGAGAGTTTTTTTTTTTTTTTTTTTTAAGAAATGGGTTTTATCAACCCTTCATGATGCTGCAAGATTAAACCTCTCTCTGAGCAGTTTTTGTAAAAACTGTATTGTAGATGTGGCAAATTTTTGTTATAATATGTTTTTAAATTCTTAAATTGTGGTGTTTGGCCTGTGGGCTATTAAACCTAATAAACTTGACTTGACTCTTGTCTTGCATTCAGCCAAACTAGAGAAAAATAAGTTAAAAATAAAATATTTGAAAAAACAGCTATGGAACTGGCTGCTTAAGAATATTTCTGTGGAGGTTATAAAGATCAGTGAGAAAAATAAACCTGCAAGAACAACTGCTGATAATTCATTTCAAAAGTATCAAGCAGTATGCAAGGTAGGCAACAATTTAGAGTAAAACTACATAAAGCAGAAGGAGAAGAGAGTGGGGTGGGAAGGTGAAGGAATAGTATGAAGTGTCAACATTACACCCAGTTGCCTAAGAAGACCCCGAAACATACTACAGAGTCCAAAAATGGTGGTGGTGGAGAGAAGCAAAAAAGTGAAGAAAGTGATAGAAAGTGAAGAAGAAAATCTGATTTTGTAGATGTGATTTCATAATTCATGTTTTTATTGTCTGCCCTGTGGGTTTGCTCTATTAGCTTCTTATCTATCTATCTATCTATCTATCTATCTATTTTATTTTTCGATTTATATCCTGCCTTTTTCCTCAAAGGGCTCAAGGCCTTACATCATTCTCCTCCATCTTATCCCCACAACAACCCTGAGAGTCTGTGATTGGCCCAAAGCTGGCTCCATGGCTGAGCAGGGACTCGAACTCAGGTCATCTGAGTCCCAGTCCCACGCTCTTAACCACCACACCACACTGGCTCTGCAGGCAGGCAGGCAGGCAGGCAGGCAAGGACGGAAGGACAGAAGGAAGGAAGGAAGGAAGGAAAGAAGGAAGGAATTTATAGGCCGTCCATCACTGTTGTCTCTGGACAGCTTACAGAATTATTCTAAATCCTAAACAAAATAGATTAGCTATTCCATGAACAGAGCATAAAGCTTACATAATTTAAATAAATCATACACAATTAAAATTGATTGATGTTAAAATATTGATCAAATAAAAAGGTCTTGAGCTGGCGCCAAAAAGCATATAATGACAGCGCCAGGCAGACCACTCTAGGGAGCGCATTCCATAGTTGGGGCACCACCACAGAGAAGGCCCTCCTCTGAGTACTCTGTCTCCTGACCTCTTTCAAAGAGGGTTCCCGATGGAGGGCCTCTGCTGCTGATCTTAGGGGGCGGAAGGGCATATAGGGAAAATATTTATAAGCTAAGACTGAGGCATGTACAGTGCTGCCTCGGCTCACGAACGCCTTGGTTCACAACCAAATCGGGTCATGAACAAAAATTTCATGAAAATTTTGACTTGGGTCACAAACTCCGCATTGGGTGGCAACCAAGATCGTGGCCATCTCCCCCCCGCCTCACCCGAGTGGGAAGATGGCCATGATCGCAGTTGTGTTCATGCAGGGAAGACGTGCGTGATCACAGGTGCGCTCCTGCAGGAAAAACAGGTGCAATCTCAGCCATTTCCCCCCACAACCAGCACGATCGCGGCCCTCTCCCCACCCCCACCCCGAGTGGGGAGAGGGCAGCAATTGCAGTTGCGTTCGTGCAGGGAAGACACAGAGGAGCTGACGACAGAAGAACTTGCTGAACTCCAGAGTGAGCAGCAGAAGGCAATTGCTAAGGAGGATTCCACTGAGGAAGAGGAAGACAGGGAGGAGGTTAGCAGTGATGCGATACAATCCATTCTGAAAAAATGGAACGAGTGCCAGGATTTCTTTGAGAAGCACCACCCCAGCATAACTGTAATGAACAGTGTGTTGAATCTGATGAATGATAACGTTCATTTCGTAACCCTCTGGTCTCTCATTTCCGGAGGGTTATGCAGCGCAGGAAAAAACAAGTGACTGTAGACAGCTTTTCACCAACATTGACCCTGCAGCTAAGAGACAAAGAAGAGAGGAAACCCCTGAAAGAGATCTCCCCAATGTCCTTATGGAGGGGGACTCTCCCTCAAAACAACCTCCCCTGACCTAGGTTAGTGTTCTCCACTGTACTGTACAACACTTTGTTACTTTGTTGTTCTTTGTCACTTAGTTTCAAATTTTTCTGATTAAAAAAATAGTTACATAACAGATTAACCTTATTTACATTGAACCTTATGGGGAAATTTGACTTTGCTCATGACCAAAAACTGGCCCACATCCACATTCGGAGGGGCCAGAATGGATTAACCATATTTACATTGAATCTCGTGGGGAAATTTGACTTGGGTCACAACCAATCTGGGTCACAACCAGAGTCGTGGAATGGATTAAGTTCATGAGTCAAGGTACCACTGTACCAAATAATCTCCACTTCGGCCTTTCCTATAGTTGCCAGCCTCTCTGCTGGGCCTAAGGAGATGCTGCTTCACCCAACAGCACCAAGTGCAATCCCCAACAGTGGGGATTCACAGGAACTAGGATACCAAACTGCTCTGGCAAAAGATGGGTGGGTTGGGAAATCCATTTCCTTCACTTTTTGCGGGTGGGGGGGGGGGGGGTAGTTTTTGTAGTTCAAGAAGTATAACTTTTAGTTTCTTTCCATACTGGGGAAGGGACTGTCACTCAGTGGTTGTACACATACTTTGCATGCAAAAAGCCTCAAACTCAGTCATAGGTATGGCTGAGAATAACTCCTGTCCGAAACCTTTCAGAGACACTGTTATACAGCATGGACAATACTATGAAGAGCAGTATCAAGAGAGGACAGTTTCCTGTCAGTCTGAGGTGCATTAATTTTAACAAACACTTTAAATATGGACACAACAATATTCAAGATTCAAATACTTACTTTAGGTAAGCCAATGGACTCCATTGCACGTAACCACTGCACTGTATTGTCTGTGTGTCGGAAATGAAGGCCTGATCGCTAATGGGAAAGGGACAGAGAAGGGAGAGAAGGGTTACTCACTTATTTCATGGATTACACAACTAGACTCCCTGAACACATGGGAGTTTTAAATATTGTGTTTTTCTATGCAAAGGTCTTAATCTGCTGAGTAGTCACAAAATAAAATCAAAACACCACACAAAGCATTTCCTGTCCTGCTTCTCTGTTGCATTACGTCTAGGTGGCACTCTGGTATAGTGAAACATTACAAATATGCAAGTAAAAAAGCACTTTTTTCACTTTTATAAATAAATACTGTAGTTTTCTTGCACATAAGAAGCATATAAATGCTGTTTAGACACAGAAACAAAACTAGAAGGTCATAATGCCATTTAAAGAACTTGAAAAATGTGAGTTGGGAATGAAAAGTTTGCAAGGCATTTTTGCCTTGGCAGAAAAGTTCACTATCTAAAATTAATGAAAAGGCAATACCTGAACAATTAGTACTCTTCTAGGACAGTGAACATCTCAACTACCTTTTGGAGTTTTAATTTGGGCATATTGAACATTTGCTATATTTAATTGATTTCATATATTTTAAATATTTGCATATTTCTATGAATGCTTTAATTATTTGTATATATTTAATGCTGTGAGCTGTCTTAAGTCACAATCACTGGGAATAGGCAGGATATCAGTAAATATAACAGCAGAAGCAGCTGCTACTAAGAATTGGGTGATAAATATTTACTCAAATATCTATATTTAATCTAGATTAGGAATGTCTTGTTTTATTGCAATACTGTGAAGTCAAGACTGCTATTCAAAATTGGACTGAGGCTTAGCTTAATTAATAGATCCAATATTTTTTTAAAGAGATGCAAAAGGAAGAATGTCTTTGAATCTCTTCCTTGGTTAGTGTGCTCCTAGTCCATTTTCAATTTATATTCACAAATGTATACAAACTTAAAATATTCTACAGAGAGGCCAGTAACCCAACATATGACATCTTTTGATTTTATAGGAAAAAATGATGCTGCTATGGATTAGGGAAAGGGCTGCCAGATGTTATTAATGTAGAAATATTGTGGATAAAAATGTTTTCTATATATAAACAAAGAATCACATAGTATTCCAAACATTCATTTTTATTTATTGGCTCAAGTCACTGCTTGCTTTTAACAAAGTATGAACTCTACCCTAACATATCATTTCCAAAAAACTCATAAAATGAAAGGTTTTAGTCATCAAACTGTATTTGTGAACTGCCCAGAGATTTCAACTATTGGGTAGTATTAAAATGCAATCAATCAATCGAGACAAAAGCATTTGTCTTGCTTTCAACCCATTTTAACATCATATTAAGCACATCAATAAATAAAAGTCTGGAGACCATTATTAAGGAATCACCATATGATGCTTCAGAAGGATATCTAATTGTCCATCTAGATCTAGAACTTTAAAGTATTTGCTTGTTTGTTTGTTTATATACCACCTGTAGCCAAAGCTCTCTGGGCAGTTTAGTAAATACATCTTCATTTCAGTTTCCTGTTAGCAGCCCTGTGCTGGTTGAACTTTTCTTTCTGGACCTATACCAGGAAAGTATGAAATAAGTGCCTCATCACAAGTGCTGGCTCCTATTGTTCCTAGACTGGGTGCCAATTCTCTAAAGAAGCTCAGATTTGCTTAACCCAACAGCACCAACTGTACCCAGCTGGAATATATGGAAGCCTACTCATGTTCTGCATGGCGCCAGCTGCCATGGAAAAATATTGACTGTATGAGTCATCCATCAGCTTAACTCAAGTGAGGTGGGTTGTCCTGAAAGTCTTTTTAGCTGTACCCTCCCTCCATCTTTAGAGCTTCCTCCTCACAGTGGTCTGCCTATTGCCAACCTTACTTTATTTCTGGTGCCACATTCTCCTTGTAGCATTGTGTTCTCCTGGGTTTTTAACAGCTTACCCTCTATTGTATTTTTTATTATTTGGTAAACAGCCCTGAAAACCTCGACCAAACTGCTAATAAGTTTTTTAAATGATCAGTCTACAGAAGAAGTCCTTATCTTCTTTAAATTCTTTGGAGCTTCAAAGCAGTTCAAGTCAGTGCCAATTTCAACAATTAAGTATCAAGGTAAGGCATCCTCAACCTCCAAACCCCAAATAAAAACACAGAGTAAAATGCTAAGATATGGTATTTCAAAATGGTCCATGAAACACTCAGATATCAGGTTTAAAACGTTATTGTTGTGAACCAATCAGACAGCTTCAGCAATTGGATGGTTTAGAAAATGAATGAATGAATGAATGATGCTGCCAAAATCCATGAAACACATACAAGTGAAATTACTGGAATTTATCTACTGCCATCAACTTGTCTCCAATTTACAGCAACCCTATAAATGAAAGTTCTCCAAAATCAAGATTGTGGCTGCCTTTATGGTACCAATCCTGCTCATATTTGGTGGTGATCTTCAGCATTATTGTCTTTTCCTGTGAACCTTGGACTTCTCATGATGTGCCCAATTATGACAGCTTAATAATTTACAGTCAGCCTTCCACTTTCCTGGGGACCAGGACTCCTGCAAAAGTGGAAAAACTGCAAATATTTTTATCCCCACCCTGAATCCCCACTCTTAATACTGTTGACCATACCTGTACTGGATTGCTTCTCCCTCTATCTCTCAGACCTTGGTCTGATCCAGCAGAGTTCTTCTGCTTAATTTATTACATTCATATGTTCTTATTGCCTGCTCACCCTTTCACTCACCAGCGCCTCCTCTTTGCACCAAGGAAAAGCTGGAGAGATTTTTCTCTCTGGATAGGTGGGACAAGAAAGCATGCTTTGGAAACCCTCCCCTTCTTCCCTTTTGCTTCCTCTGTCTTTATGGTGATGACAATTTTCCACAGTAGGCCGCAAAACACCAAAAAAAAAATCCCATTTAATTATTGATGGGAAGCTCAAGAATAATCAAATCCATGAAGGTTAAACCCACAAAAGTTGAGGTTTGTCTGTATCTTATCAGAAAGGAGAAACAGGTTCTTCAGAGAATTTCTTCCCTCCTAAGGTCAGAAGCATTCTTCTATCTATCTTTTCTACATTCCTGGGAGAAATAGTGTCTTTAACAAGACAATTTTAAAAAAGAAAATAAATTGTCTCTGGTATGCCTATTCAGAGGCAAACTACATAACTATTCCCAAGTGGGCATTCACACGAATAATCAACAGCTTTTTTACCATTGCCAAATGGAAATAAGCCTGTATTCATAAAAATCACTAGTTTAACTGAAGAATTTCCTTTTATGATTTATAAAGGAAGCTAGTAAAGGACTTTCAAAAGAACAGGTGAGAGCAAGCATGGATTTCTTATAGTTCTTGTTCCAACACACACACACGTACATGCCCTTCTGGGCTGCAGGATCAAACCCTACTGGACACATAACTAGGTGCAGAGTTGTAAGCCTAGTTACTAAAGCGAAAAACAGCTGAAGAATAAAAACTTAGCAGGGTTCAAGCCCTTACATTCGTTTTCAGTTACAGAATCCCAATCATACATTTCCAACGCTGGGATAGAATGCATATTCATTGTCACTGGATATATACAAAAGAGTTCCCAACATACATGGCTTCCAGCTTGGGGAGTAGTTTTTCCAAGCAAAGCTTGAGTGACAACATCTAATTTTCCTAAAAGTAAGGACGGTTAACTTTCCCTCACATATGTAAGAGAAACTGCAAAATGGGAACAGAGTTCACTTTGTATTGTGAAAGATCAGATTCTGCTGATGTAATATGTGCTAACAGAATAAGATGAGCAAAAATCTTGCAACTTTCAGCAGAGTCACTCTGAATAGCTAGCTTCCTTTACAAAAGAAAAGTTTAAAAATGTTTATTTTTGGCATTTGGCACTCAGTGCTGTAAACAGAAACATGAAGCAGGTTGCTAAGCTTCTTTTCTGAGTGTTAGGCTGACCATTTCTACTCATCCCTAATACTGTTTGCGACTCCTTGCAATCTCACTTGGATGGACCTACCAGGATGGCATGGGGGGGGGGGGCAAAGGCCCCATGGCTAGAGTACTCTCCAGCTAACTGCCAGCCTGATCATACAGTTAAGAGACATTATGAAACAGCAGTTATGGCAAAAATACTCTTAGTTACAGGAAAACTTAAGTACCTACTTTACCTTGTATCGTGTCTGTTCCACATCATAGATCTTCTTATCAGAGACCAACTTTGGTGCAAAAAACTTTGCTAATTTGGCAAGGTAAACGCCATTCCTTAATCCTTCTTCCAGTTCAGTAGTAGGTGGTAACTCTTCAGCTAGACAGACCTCCATCCACCTGCAAATATGTAATATAAATTGTTCCCTTTAACCAGAGTATCTTTAAGGTGGTACAATGTTTTATATTCCATTTATAACTCAACCTACTGCTAAGCAATGGCTCAGTACTATGGGAATGAGCTTTCATTTCTCCTCTGTCATGGCCACAAAAAGACTGGATGTTTTCACTTCTACTTTAAGCTAAGCAGAATTTCTCACTGCATCTAAACCGAAGAATTCTGGTTAGGTTAAACTATTGCTCGTTCAAACAACCAGGATAAAACCATGGTTTATATTTATATCCTCCTCACTAGATACACTGCCAGTCAATGCTGCTTCTTGTTGCGGGCGGCCATTGCCCACCCAACCCACTCAGCTATCTGTCTGGCCACTCATTCATCTGTTTGGCCAGCTGGGCTGGTTGGCTGCTCTCAACTTGTGCTTACGCTGTGGGACTCCCATAAGAGATGCAATGAAGTCTCACAGATACCCAGCAACTGAGGAACAAGATGGTAACAGCCAGGCAGGTGCGTATCAGATATAATCCACAATGACGAAATATGAATGTCCTCAAAACTCAAAGTTATCTGCTGAAACTCTGATCCAAGTCAATTCTGAAACAGTGTGGGGAATTGTAGGCTCTTTCTAATTGCTAAGGTGGAACTTTTGGACAAATTGCCTTTGTCAATTCATTGCTCACTGTTAGGCTAACAAAATGCCATACATGGGAAATGTACCAAATTTAATATCTCCTGTCTGACCCTACATGGAAAAATGATCCCGTGATCCAACAGGAGCAAGCTATCTTCAGTTCTAATATGATCTTTCAGTGACCATTAAGGGTGCTGAACAGGAGATACCAGCTTCCTTCCACATGGCAATCCAGTCTCATGAAAGTTTGTCAGATTTTGCAGCTTTGGCTGTGCCTGTGTGCATTTGTATAACAGCTTAAGCAGGTGAGAATTCACTTGTTCTGTATTTGCCAGATGACAGACTTTATCTTCAAGTACAGAGTCTTCTGGCTTGGATGCAAGGAAGACAAGTGCTCTAAATAGCATGCCAACAACAAGCATTGGTGTACATATTTCTGTGGCTGTTGAAGCCCAGTGGGAGATTTCCCTGAGAGCTTTGAGTGGTCTAAGGAGAGACAAACACAGAACATAAGTCCCACCCACTGAGTTACAGGAGGAGTGTCTGTGAAAACCATTCGCCCCTCATCACTACACAGACCATACACTACAAAGTCTGTATCAAAGGTCGGGAGGGGGGAGCCTTAGCTGTTAGGAATTACTAAAGTTTTGCATGCACGGATTAATAGGCTTAGAGCACCTCTGCATAGTCTTGAATGTATAATACAAGACACTCGGGTGACTACAAGCCTACTCCCTGTCTGTCTCTAGCCTATTGGATGAATTCCAAATAGACTTTTCTGGACCTTTCCCCTGTTTAATGCAGTGGATACAAAGAAGATTGTGCTATGCAATGCATATGAAACTAAGAAATGGGGCTGCAAAAACTTCTGCAGACAGGGAACAGAAAAATGTTGTATACTGTAAATGGGCTAAAGAACTGTGGAGTACAAAGAGAGAATGCAACAGTGAAGAAAGAAGAATGGTTCCAAGAAGAATGGAAAGAAGAATGGTTCCAAGAAAGAGCTGCAGAAAGGGAAGCTCATTATTGACACATTTATTTTACAAGCCAAAGGCCTTAGCAAACGGAAGGTCACATAAGAATACAAATAATCAGGAAAGATACACAAACAAGCACATAAACAGAACTGTATGGATCCTAGGCCCCAAGTTCCTTAACTTGCCAACCAAGTTAGATCTGGTTTTTTTGCTGATAGTATAAACATCAATATACTATGGGTAGTTGCTACATCCAGGTCTGAAAGCTTGCTATGAATTTAACTCTAATGGCACTGAACTGGGAACATTTGAAAAGGGAATGCACCCAATCCCCAAGCTGATCTGGGCAATGCAGACATATGTGCCACTTCCTAGAGCATGGATCCTACAGCCCACAGGCCAGATATGGCCCGCCATGCTCATCTATCCAGCCTGCCTCAGAGCTTTTGAACTCGCTTGGAGCAAACAATCTCCAAGTGAGTCCAAAAGCTCTGAGCTGGCATAGGTGTACTCAGTGGGGAGATGGCTGTGATCGTGCTCGGGGCGGGGAGATGGCTGCAATCGCACCTGCCTTCCATGCAGGACCACGCCTGCGATGGCGCCCACGTTCTCTGCACGATTGTGCTGGGAGGGGGTGAGGAGATGACAGTGATCGCTGTTGCGCTTGTGCAGGGAGGATGGGTACGATTGCAGTCATGCTGGGGGGGGGGGGGGAGGAGATGGCCGCGATCACGTCCGCCTTCTCTGCATGAGTGCAATCATGTCCGTCTTTCCTCCACAGCACAATAGTGCCCGTCTCCCCCCACCCCACCAGCACGATCATGAATATTGTAGCTATGTCACTTAAATATGGACATGCTCTTGCCCACCTTATCTTGTGCTTCTGCTGGAGCAAACATTTTAAATTATTTTTTAAAAATTTAATTAATTTTAATTAATTTTTAATGTACAGTGTGCATAGGAATTCATTCATATTTTTTTCAAACTATAATCCAACCCCCCAACAGTCTGAGGGACAGTGAACTGGTCCCCCATTTAAAGAGTTTGAGGATCCCTGTCCTAGAGTGTCCTTCCACCTCAGCTGAAGAGAGAAGCAGTGGTTAAAAGGAAGGAATGGTTAAAAAAACACTGATGAAATTTTGTCAAAGTGGTTATTCAACAAGTATCATAAACAAAAGTTTAGCTGAGACACAACTAACTCAGGGTAAAAATAATGTTATTTAAATAGTTTATTACCTCACTTCAGTCACTGTAAATTTCTTGTGAAGAGATGAGGTCAATTTATCATATCAATATACCATAAATGTTTAGATAGATTATACTCTCCTGGACTCATTACATGACATATGAAAATTGTTCCCCCAAGGAACATACAATCCAAAAAGCTCCAAAGCAATAAATCTTCATTTTGGGCAGTTTCCACCGGAAGCCGCACTACATAAGATGTTAGGATATATCAACACCTACAAATATAAAAGTTTGTTATGCTAGCAAAAAGCTACTGCACTAAAATTACTTCTTGCCAATACAGCCCACTATGTTTATACTTAATGAACAGGCTATATTCCAGAGCATCTAAGTCATAATATTTGACTAACATGGAAAATACACATGAAATGACAGTTTGTCTTTCTCCCAAACAACGAGAAAATGAACAGGCAGGATTAAATATGTCTTGACAAGTGAATGTTACATTCTTTTTCAGAAACATTTTTCCATGGTAAAACACAGCTGTACAGAAGGCAGCTGGAAGAAGGCCTTTTACGGCACTTCTTGATTATAGCCATTCACATATGACAGCAGTCAACTCTTGCAATTCCATCTACTGCACATATCAGCAAACAGCTAAGCAGGGATGTCATGGACAGGATAAACCAGAGAGCTGTCATTCATAGGGTCATCATAAGTCAGAGAAAACTTGCTGGCACACCAACTCCACGACCACCACCACCACCACAATGCATATCATATTTATGCAGCATTTTAAATGTTAATATTATTGAATTTTATTCGGCCAGGGTGGCTTATTTTATTTTACTGTATATATTTTAATTGTCATTGTTTTAATGTATTTTGTATTCGATGTTGTAAGCCGCCCCAAGGCCTTGGCAAGGGGTCACATAGAAATGTTTTAATAAATAAATAAATAAAAATATCAGATAATTCTTCATTTATTCTTGCTATAATTTATCATAGAGGCTGCTTCCTTAACCGACACTGTCATAGACATTCAAAACCTTTGTCTTTTAATTATATTAATGTTTTAAATCTCTTAATCTTACATAGCTTTCTGCTGCAACTAGAGTTGCCACCTGGCATGAAAGAAAAGATCAGAGTGGCAATAGAACACCATACAAATCCAGGCTCACTAAGAAGATAAGCAGCAGAATGTTATTTCAGTGCATGCGTGTAAACTTAAGAACACAGAAGATTTCTGTCTAGAGAAATGGCTGCCTTAGAAACATCAGTGCTACTTTTCATATGTGGACAGCAAGCAATTATTATTATTATTATTATTATTATTATTATTATTATTATTATTATTATTATTATAACATTTCTATGCCGCCCCTTGCCGAAACCTCGGGGCGGCTTACAACATGATAAAATACATTGAAATACAATAGTACATAATAAATTACCATTAAATATAACAATACAAAAAATACATTGATTTAAAAATACAAAATTAAAATTATCAGTATAAAATAAAAATATAGGAGGAGCTTGTTTGCAAAGTCTTTTAAGCAGTTGCGCAACATTTATCATTAGTTTTGCGCAGATATTTAGAATGAGTCTTCACAATCTGAGGTAAATGCATTCTTGAAGTGACTGCATTCCTTACAGAAATCATCTTAGAAAAGCTCTCATCTTATGGATAAATTTGGGACTGTAATGGATCAGTGTTTTCAGAAACCTTTCAGTATTGCGTATTTCTTTAACCAGATGCAACATATGTGTATTACTGAGAGATGAGAATACATTCTTGCCAAACATTTGTTTCTATATACTGCTTTTAATTCCAAATCATACCACAAATGCTATGGTCTCTGAACGGACTAGACTTTATTTACCAACATCAGACAACATCATCATTATTTACAGACTATCTTCAGAATTCTAAACAGTTACACTTTCTCTATTTTCTTGCAACAACATTACAGCTAAACATTTTACAGGAATAGGTTCAATGACATGTGTTGTGTTCCTGTACTTCAGATGACTGCTTTCCAGTGGCTGCTGCTTGATCTATCTGTGTTTGAATCATGGAATTCCTTTCTTGAATTTTGTATATACAACCCCCTCTCCACTCAACATAAATAACACAATAAATAAATAAAATTTGGATGAAAGTTACAGCCTCGACTCCTGCTGGAAACCAAATATAAAA